AGGAATCCAATCCCAAAGCAACCTAATCCGAAACAAAAGCAAAATAACTTTAAATTAATTCAATTCCAAAGTGTTATCTAATCCCAAATTAACTAAATCCCAGAAACACCCAATTGCAAAGAACTAGCTTCATTGCCCAAACCCATGAAACAGTTAGTTTAGTAGAAAAGAAAGAAATAGGATGTGGCAAATATACTTTTTGCCATATTTCTAAGAGTTTTAAAGATGATGGAGAATGCGGTGCAGTTCTAACTAATTCAATCAGAAATTCTGCTCAGCTCAAAATTTACGAAAATTTAAGGATAATTGAGATTCTAAAGAAAAAATTGGCTCTATAGGCTCTGAGCACTTACAGTATAACGAAAACCATAACATTTCTGATAATTCTAACAATTTTTTAATTTCCCTGTGAATAGTACGGTAAAGAAAATTGTTTTTATCGAAAAATGATTCGTACAAAATTTGCTTAAAATATTGTTAGAAATCGATTATTTTAATAAAAATTTTCGATATCTCCATTAATTTGGGCCCTACACTCGTACGAAAATGACATTTCGAGGTTATTTTAACAATTATTGACAAAATTAAAATTTTTTTGATACAATTTATTTTATAATTAAGTTAAAAGTAATTTTCGATTATAATTCATTTCGAATTTTTGCTAAAACTCGATAAAAATAGAAAAATTTGATTTCCCTCTGAATAGTATGGCACAACGAGTGTACAAATGACATGATAACCACAAAAATATCGATTAATATCGCCGAAGATAAAGAAAGAAAGGGTTACGATCAGGGGGGAGGAAGACAGAAGGATATCCCCGTCTAGCCCGACGTCAGACAACAACAAAACGCGAAGGGGAACCCGCTCCGACGATCCTAAAAACGGCGCATGCCCGTAACCAGAAACAGTCGACGTCACAAAAACAGTCGACGTTCGACCCGAGAAACAACAACAAAACGGAACGCGTTTCGAAACCACCGTCGCCGCCACTGTCGCGAAACAAAAGAGAGTCGCGGCGACCTTGCAACAACGAACAGGTACACTTGCTGCATCGATGGTTGCTGCTGCTGCTGTTGCGGTCGCGGCCGTCTAGACGTTGACCGAACGAAAGCGTCGCGACGCGGTTAAACCAACGATAATAATTCCACCATGAGGAGAGTAAAAGATAGAAAGAGAGAGAAATGAAACGAACATAGTAGTAGGAGTTTGTAGGGGTCGCCCGGTTGCCGCGTTGCGGAAATGCGGCAACATAGCGACCGTGCGGTCGCTTAGAAAGGAGTAGGCCGCGAAAAAAGAAATAAAAGAAAAACGAGTGTCGGGTCGAGTAGAGTTAGATGGGAAGGGGACGAGCACGCGGAGGGGAAACGGGAGGCGTTGGATGCCACCGGAAAATCTAAACATATCGACGCACGTGCGGCGTTCATAGTTTTTGCGATCTCTCCACTAAATTCTAGTAATAGTATTTTTTTTTATACAATTTGTAGTAAATATAAGAAACGCGTAGTTTTGGAATTTTTTAAATCGATTCATTCCCAAAAAATTTTTTATTGCAAAAATGAATAAATATAAGCGATTTCTTAATACACATAAAAAATCCTTTAATTTGATATGTCACACGACTAGGTTATGATGATTTATAGAACAATTCAAGATGGCGTCTGACAATTATGACATCAAATTAGTCGTTTTCGTTGATTTTGAAATAAATAAGTCGAGTTTAGGCTTAAATTAAAGATATATTCCTCGAGAATAAGAAAATATTTAATTTTTAATAAATTGTAGATGGCGCTTCTTTAAAATAGCCGCTTAATGTTTTGATTTATACATTTTTAAACATTATTTTATTCATGTTTATTAATAACCCTTTAATTTGATATGTCACACGATTATGTTATAACTATTTTTAGAAAAATTCAAGATGGCGTCTGACAATTATGACATCAAATTCACCGTTTTTGTTGATATTGAAATAAATAAGTCGAGTTTAGACTTAAATTAAAGATATATTCCTCGAGAACAAGACAATATTTAATTTTTAATAAATTGTAAATGGCGCTTCTTTAAAATAGTCGATTAATGTTTTGATTTAAACATTTTTAAACATTATTTTCTTAATGTTTATTAAAAACCCTTTAATTTGATATGTCACACGACTATGTTATGACTATTTTTAGAAAAATTCAAGATGGCGTCTGACAATTATGACATCAAATTCATCGTTTTTGTTGATATTGAAATAAATAAGTCGAGTTTAGACTTAAATTAAAGATATATTCCTCGAGAATAAGAAAATATTAAATTTTTAATAAATTGTAGATGGCGTTTCTTTAAAATAGTCGATTAATGTTTTGATTTAAACATTTTTAAACATTATTTTCTTAATGTTTATTAAAAACCCTTTAATTTGATATGTCACACGACTATGTTATGAATATTTTTAGAAAAATTCAAGATGGCGTCTGACAATTATGACATCAAATTAGCCGTTTTCGTTGATATTGAAATAAATAAGTCGAGTTTAGGCTTAAATTAAAGATATATTCCTCGAGAGTAAGAAAATATTTAATTTTTAATAACTTGTAGATGGCGCTTCTTTAAAATAGTCGCTTAATGTTTTGATTTATACATTTTTAAACATTATTTTATTCATGTTTATTAATAACCCTTTAATTTGATATGTCACACGACTATGTTATGACCATTTTTAGAAAAATTCAAGATGGCGTCTGACAATTATGACATCGAATTAATCGTTTTCGTTGATTTTGAAATAAATAAGTCGAGTTTAGGCTTAAATTAAAGATATATTCTTCGAGAATAAAAAAATATTTAATTTTTAATAAATTGTAGATGGCACTTCTTTAAAATAGACGATTTATGTTTTGATTTAAACATTTTTAAACATTATTTCATTAATCTTTATTAAAAATCCTTTAATTTGATATGTCACACGACTATGTTATGACTAGTTTTAGAAAAATTCAAGATGGCGTCTGACAATTACAATTTTTTTTGGTCGTTTTGGTAATTTTTAAGATAAATACGTCGTGTTTGGACTTAAATTAAAGGACTTTTTCGCAAGGATGAGAAAATACAAACCATTTGTGGCTTTTGTTTAAAAAATAATTGATTTAGGTTATGTTATAACAATTTTTTTAAATTCTCTTTAACATTTTCATAATCTTTATTAAAAATCCTTTAATTTGATATGTCACACGACTATGTTATGACTAGTTTTAGAAAAATTCAAGATGGCGTCTGACAGTTACAATTTTTTTTTGGTAGTTTTGGTAATTTTTAAGATAAATACGTCGTGTTTGGACTTAAATTAAAGGACTATTTCGCAGGAATAAGAAAATACAAACCATTTTTGGCTTTTGTTTAAAAAATAATTGACTCAATAATAATTGATTTAGGTTATGTTATAACAGTTTTTTAAAATTCTCTTTAATACGTTCATAATCTTTATTAAAAATCTTTCAATTTGATATATCACACCACTAGGTTATGACAATTCTGTCAAAAATTCAAGATGGCGCCTAAAATCATAATACTTTTGACAGTTTTGGTAATTTTAAAGATAAATACGTCGTGTTTGGACTTAAATTAAAGGTCTCTTTCTAGACAACATGAACCTAGAAATACTTTTTGATTTAAAGTAAAGATAGAAAGAAATTTTTTTAATATTTAGTCTCACAGATTTAGTTGGGTAATAAACTTTATTAAAAAACGTACGACTTTTGCGTCTTGACACATAAATAAGTGTTTATGAGCTCTAAAATAACTATGTAGTGAATCCATAAATAGAAGCGAATAAATTTGGATAAGTCCATGACGCGTAATTATGAACGAATCGCATACATGGCAAAGTATGAAATTGCCTTGCTCTCAACTGACATGGGTTGTATGAAAAATGTGTTGTGAAATCTTCAGGAACATTCCAACATTTTTTTTCTTATACAAGTATATTTAAGCAGAGAAAAGTTAAAATATCTGTTAGAAAAGGAAATACGAGAATGTTGAGTGTAGGCCGCTACGATTAATTTAAAAATGATTGTAGAAAATCGTTAAGTATATAAAGTGAAAAAAATTTCGTCGTTTTAAAAAATTATTATCTCAAGAACGAATTGAGATATTCAAGTACGGTTTTGTTCATGATAAAGTACGTACTTTCTTCTATATAGTGAGAATGTTTTATGAAAATATCTTAAGATTCCGATTTTTTGCGATTTTTTAAAAATGATTGTAAAAAATCTTTTACTTCATAAAGATACTCAAATTCAGAATTTAATATCTTAAGAACGAATTGAGATATTCCACTGCGCTTTTGTTCACGAAAAAGTAGGTACTTTCTTCTATAAAGTGGAGATGTTTTATAAAGATATCTCAAGAATTCGATTTTTCACGATTTTTTTAAAATAATGTTAACAATTTTTTGATTACACAATTGAGGTAGAGTTCAAACATTGTTATCTCAAGAACGATTTGAGATATTCAAGTGCGGTTTTTTTCATGAAAAAGTACGTGCTTTCTTCTATAAGATGGGAATGTTTCATGAAGATATCTTAAGAATCCGATTTTTTGCGATTTTTTAAAAATGATTGTAAAAAATCTTTTACTTCATAAAGATACTCAAATTCAGAATTTAATATCTTAAGAACGAATTGAGATATTCCACTGCGCTTTTGTTCACGAAAAAGTAGGTACTTTCTTCTATAAAGTGGAAATGTTTTATGAAGATATCTCAAGAATTCGATTTTTCCCGATTTTTTTACTACATAATTGAGGTTAATTTCAAAAATTATAATCTCAAGAAGGATTTGGGATATTCAAGAGGTGCTTTTCGTAATCTTAAGATATCGATTTTTCGTGATTTATAAAAATGATGGTAAAAAATTTTTACTTCAAAAAGTAAGAAAATATCTCAAGAATTGGATTTAGACACAAAGAGAACACAACAATTGAATTACCTACATATAAAGAAAGTTGTTTCTTACCTGCTTCCTTTTCAACCCATTCGTGGTGGTATGATGGTCAACAAGAACAACATCTGTAGCGGGAACCGGATGCGGCATCTTCCCCAAATATTGGTCCCGCATATCGTCCAAAAACTTAACGTACCGTTCGTGATCAATTTGATCGGTACAAATATAGGTATAATTCCTCCACGAGCCGCTATCAAATCCCCAATGAAGAGTTCGTATCTCCAACTGTCGGTGCACGTGACAAACGAACTGTTGGGGCGAAAACGCCCCGTGACACTCCAAACACTCAATACACTTTGCGTCTCTATCCACGTACAGATCTGGATAACACAAACCTGAACATCGCCCGAAACACTCGTGATAAACGCGAAAACCAAAGGCCCCTTTCGGGGGCGCCCTTAACGGCACCATCGCGTTCCTCAATAAGGCACTGCACAGCCTTTGCGCGTCCGTTTTCCTTATCAATCCGCAACTGTACGCGGCACTCGGCAAGATTCCTTGGTTTTTTAACACGTTGAGTTGCTCCGGGGTACACCGCGAACAATAAATATTCAACGAATCGCACTCCATGTTTATTTGTAACAAATCGAAGTCTCTTAACACCGAATTTAACACTTGCGGCAAACACAAACGCATCTCTCCGCCGATATCGAAACACGCGATCGTTTCACCTTCGAGGATCGTCTCGGTGACCTCGCTGCAAGTGGTATCCGCGACGGATAATATCGGGATCTGGTGATGTATCACCGGTGCACTTGGGGCTGGGAGAAAATCGTGCTGCGGGGAATCCCGACCGAAATCATCCTCGTCTTTATCGTCGTCCTCTTCATCATCCGGGACTATAACGTTTTGGAGGTCAGCGTGTCCGGGACCCTGGAGACTCTTCGTCGCGCTATGCTGGTAACTTTTCAGTACCGTCTTCAGGTGCGGCGTCACTTCCATCGTGGTGACGACGGCCGCTCGCATCACAACAAATGTTTTATTTTATATCTTGTTTTTATTCGATTTTTTCACTCACATAATAACATTTTCTTTTTTGAAAATTTATTATCTGTCTCGCTCGATCGGATTTTTTTTCTTTTTATTGATGATCACACCGCACTTCTCGTTTACTACACGATCCGAACGCGTCTGAGGCCAGTCTGGGCTCGGTCTAGTCGGCGGCGGCGGCGGCCGCGCATGCGCTTTTATAAAACGTCCATCGTGCTCGATCCTTCTTTTTTTTTTTTTTTCATTTTTTTTCCATTTCTCTCTCTCCCTCTCGTTTCGTTTTGTTGTTATCCTTTTTTAATGGACTCTGTTCGAAAAACAAATTGTTACGTGAGCTTAAAAAAAGTTTTTGAACATATTTTTTTAATACATTATTTAAATATTAATTTTTTATATAAGATAAAGTAGTTTAAAGTTCGAGGAATATTTTCTCTCCAGTCAAAATAAGGTTCGCGGTAGTGACGGGACGGCGGCGACGTGGCGGGGAAAGAGGATGGATGATGATGTCGGGAGGGCGTGTGGGTTGCTGTTTGACGCGCGGAGTGCGGGGCAAGCACCAGAAAAGGCGGAGAGGAGAAGCGGTGGCCGGGGTCTTGTTTACTCCGGAGGTCGAAGCCGCCGTCGTCGCCTGAAATCGCGACTCAGCCGTGGCCAAAGTGGCCAGACGCCAACGCCCTCTCGGTCATCTTCTTCGAATAATTTGATACAAAATTAAACTTTAAAATTAAAACCACCTTTTAAAACCTTGTATCATATCCAAATTATTATTAATAAAATAAAATCATTATTTAAAATAAAATAATAAGTAATGACACCTATCGTAATTATAACCCAAAAATTATTGGTAGAAATCTACTTTACCTACTAATGACATTTAACTGTCATGAATCACGATTATTGGTTGCCTATCTTAAAATATTGAAATAAAATTATTAAAAAGACATTGAATTCAACAGTTAATATCTAAATAATGTTTTATTGGGGATCTTTATTCGTGGAAGACGCATACATGGGGAAAAGTCCTTGAGACAGGATAAGATTGTTGTGAATATTTATAATAAACAGAGTTTGTGGAATTTGAGGTTAACCTAAAGCGAAATCAATCAAAATAATGTGGATTTGGAAATTAATCAGAAATAATGGAGTTTGATAAAGAATAAAGAAAGTTTTTCAAAAAAGAACATACAAGAAAATCTGTTAGGTTATGTCAAAGTTACGAAATGATTTATGTCTCAAATTAAAGCTAAAAGACTCTATTTTAAGATGTGATAAATAATGGGGTTTGTTTCTAATGTTTATAATAAATTTTAAATTAAATAATTTCCAACTAACGCCAACTATCGGCAATTTCTATCACTTCTAACTAACGCCATCTATCGGTAATTTCAATCAATTACTTCAAGTGACAACGTTAAACGTCATATTTTTTTAACCTACAAAAAATCTTATAAACAAAAGTTATTTTCGTTTTGTTTAACAATTTTCCACTGAATATAAATAAGAAGGAATATAAAACAATAGGAAAATGAATATTAAGATTTAAAAGATCACCTCAACCTCGTTTTTAAGTGTAAGAAAATAATGTATGCTTAAATTAAAACTAAAAGACTCTATTTTTAGATATGATGTAGAAACAATGGGGTTTGATAAAGAAAATTTTTCAAAAAAGAACATACAAGATAATCTGTTTGGTTATGTCAAATATACAAGATAATCAAGGTCTATAGAACATAAGGTTACCCAATACCGATTCTCCTACTCTGAGAGGCAAGGTGGGTCAGTGACGTAGCTGGTTCTATGAACAACACAACACGATGCGAGGTTTAAATATTTTATATAGACTGTACCACAATATAGGCACGTATAGGCTATCTTTTATTCTGACTGTATCGAACCAGTGACGTCAATTTGCGGGGTAATAATCGATACTACAGAGGCATAGGGAATGAGGTAACCTTATGTTCTATAAACCTTGCAAGATAATCTGTCAAGTTATGTCAAAGATTACCTCAACGTCGTTTTTATGAGTTAGAAAATGATTTCGGTTTTGAATTAGAGCTAAAAGACTCTATTTTGAGATGTGATATAAAAATGATATGGTTTGATAAAGAAAATTGTTCAAAAAAGAACATACAAGAAAATCTGTTAGGTTATGTCCAAAAAGTGAAAACTTTAAAAAATCACCTCAACCTCATTTTTAAGAGTTAGACAATGGTTTATATCTTAAATTAAAGCTAAAAGACTCTATTTTAAGATGTGATATAAAAATTATGGTGTTGGATAAAGAAATTTTTTCAAAAAAGAACATACAAGAAAATCTATCAAGTTATGTCAAAAGAGTGAAAACTTTAAAAAAATCACCTCAACCTCGTTTTTAAGAGTTAGAAAAGGATTATATATCTTAAAGTAAAGCTAAAAGACTCTACTTTAAGATGTGATATAAAAATAATGGGGTTTGATGAAGAAAATTTTTCAAAAAAGAACACAAGAAAATCTGTTAGGTTATGTCAAAAGAGTGAAAACTTTAAAAGATAACCTCAACCTCGTTTTTAAGAGTTAGAAAATGATTTATGTCTTAAATTAAAGCTAAAAGACTCTATTTTAAGATATGATATAAAAATAATGTGGTTTGATAAAGAAAATTTTTCAAAAAACAATATACAAGAGAATCTGTCAAGTTATGTCAAGAGTGAAAACTTTAAAAAATCACCTCAACCGCGTTTTTAAGAGTTAGAAAAGGATTATATATCTTAAATTAAAGCTAAAAGACTCTACTTTAAGATGTGATATAAAAATAATGGGGTTTGATGAAGAAAATTTTTCAAAAAAGAACATACAAGAAAATCTGTTAGGTTATGTCAAAAGAGTGAAAACTTTAAAAGATCATCTCAACCTCATTTTTAAGAGTTAGAAAATGATTTATGTCTTAAGTTAAAGTTAAAAGACTCTATTTTAAGATGTGATAAATAATAGGGTTTGTTTCTAATGTTTATAATAAATTTTAAATTAAATAATTTCCAACTAACGCCATCTATCGGCAATTCCTATCAATTCGTGAGTTTTGACACTGACGTGAAGTTAGCGGATTTCACACAACTCAAGACTTCAAGTGACAGTTAAAAATGTCATATTTTTCTAACCTACAAATAAATGTTATAATTTATAAATAATAAAAGTTATTTTAGTTTTGTTTAATAATTTTCCACTCAATATAAATAAAAAGGAATATAAAGCAATAGGAAAATGAATGTTAAGATTTAAAAGATCACCTCAACTTCGTTTTTAAGAGTTAGAAAATGATTTATGTCTCAAATTAAAGCTAATAGACTGTACTTTAAGATGTGATATAAAAATAATGGGGTTTGATGAAGAAAATTTTCAAAAAACAACATACAACAGAATCTGCCAAATTATGTCAAGAGTGAAAACTTTAAAAAATCACCTCAACCTCGTTTTTAAGAGTTAGAAAAGGATTATATATCTTAAATTAAAGCTAAAAGACTCTACTTTAAGATGTGATATAAAAATAATGGGGTTTGATGAAGAAAATTTTTCAAAAAAGAACATACAAGAAAATCTGTTAGGTTATGTCAAAAGAGTGAAATCTTTAAAGGATAACCTCAACCTCGTTTTTAAGAGTTAGAAAATGATTTATGTCTTAAATTAAAGCTAAAAGACTCTATTTTAAGATATGAAATAAAAATAATGTGGTTTGATAAAGAAAATTTTTCAAAAAACAACATACAAGAGAATCTGTCAAGTTATGTCAAGAGTGAAAACTTTAAAAAATCACCTCAATCTCGTTTTTAAGAGTTAGAAAAGATTATATATCTTAAATTAAAGCTAAAAGACTCTACTTTAAGATGTGATATAAAAATAATGGTGTTTGATGAAGAAAATTTTTCAAAAAAGAACACAAGAGAATCTGTCAAGTTATGTCAAGAGTGAAAACTTTAAAAAATCACCTCAACCTCGTTTTTAAGAGTTAAAAAAGAATTATATATCTTAAATTAAAGCTAAAAGACTCTACTTTAAGATGTGATATAAAAATAATGGGGTTTGATGAAGAAAATTTTTCAAAAAAGAACATACAAGAAAATCTGTTAGGTTATGTCAAAAGAGTGAAAACTTTAAAAGATCACCTCAACCTCATTTTTAAGAGTTAGAAAATGATTTATGTCTTAAGTTAAAGTTAAAAGACTCTATTTTAATATGTGATAAATAATGGGGTTTGTTTCTAATGTTTATAATAAATTTTAAATTAAATAATTTCCAACTAACGCCATCTATCGGCAATTTCTATCAATTCGTGAGTTTTGACACTGACGTGAAGTTAGCGGATTTCACACAACTCAAGACTTCAAGTGACAGTTAAAAATGTCATATTTTTCTAACCTACAAATAAATGTTATAATTTATAAATAAAATAATTTTCCACTCAATATAAATAAAAAGGAATATAAAGCAATAGGAAAATTACTATTAGGATTTAAAAGATTTACTATGTAATAAAAAAATTCTATTTTTAAACATCGTATTGAATTATAATAGACTCCTTATCAACATAATTCAACAAAGTATTCTCCAACTCTTTATTATTTTCTTCCAAATCTTTCCCTTGGAGCACAACACCTCCGTTATTATCAATTACAGCTTCCATAACGATCGTATCGACATGTTCCGGATTAATCACGTCGTTAATTTCTTGATTAATCTTAATCTCTCCCTCGTTAAAATTATCATCATCGAATAAAACATCAAAATTCCCCGAAGATATCAAAACATCATCCGTGGTACCGGAATACCCATAAAACCCCCATATCCATAATTGATTTTCCATGCATTTAATATACCCAAGAACTTTTTGAAAAAAACTATTTATGTTAATCTTGGGGTATGTTTCAATGTGTAACCAAGCCCTGATGACGTTTCTTTTTTGAAACGATGTTAAATCCTTACTAAACGATTTTTTATCCCCTTTCGTGTAAACATCGCGCAAAAACGATTCTAATTCGATTAACTTTTCGATTAAACTCACTATTTTGACGCTATTTTGCGGGGTTTTTCCTTTGAATAGTAACAAATAGTCTCGTAACTTTTTAAAGGGTGCTATTACGTTTTCGCTGATACGATTTTCTAAATGATGCACGCAAAATAATTGCGGCGTGACGGTTTTGATCCAAATTTCGTTGATGTACTCGAAAATTGGTTCGGTTATTTTGTTTAAATCTAAATCGTTTGATTGAGTTTTGATCGTGTTTAACGCATCTTCGATTGTATTAACTGGAAGTAAAGGTAACATTAATAACATGTGGTAAATGTTGCGGAAATTCGAATTTGTTTCTAAATTTTTTGATAAATTTAATGAACATATTTTTTTGTAAATGTTTTGGGTGTAATAATAAAATGAGCCTCCGATGTGGGAGTCTAAATAGATTTCGCCTAAAGCGTAATATAAAGAGGATTCGTAATCGGTTACGATTTCGTAAGGTTTTAGATTTGGGGCTAAATCATCGCGGAGATGTTTAAATATTTTCGCGAAAATTTCTTGATTCTTTTTATTAACTAAGGCGAATAAAATCGGGTAATAACTTTCGTCGAGCCAAATTAAAACTGTTATTAAGTGGTACTCGAACGATTCTGTATTATTTATCTGAAAGGAGCCATCGACGTACATTAAATCACTTTTTACGTCTTTATTTATGTTTGAAAAAATTATTGCGTAAGCACCATTTTCCGTGGAAAATTTTTCTTGGTAAAATTGTTTATTGTCATTAGTAAAATGTAATCGTTCGAACGCCCCATCTTCGATTCTTTCAAAAAGTTGTTCAAAACTAGAAATTTTCGGGATTTTCTCGGGGTTTTGGTGTTTGCAAATTTCGTTGATCACGTTTCTTAACGGAATTAATTTTTTTATGTCTGGATCTTGTTCGGATATTTCCTCATACATTAATCGGATGTTTAAATTTTTATCTAATTGCATTTTTTTCCTCATTACGTGAAAAAACATGTGCTTTTTTCGAGTCTCCTCGCTCGGTTTTTTATGATTATGACCGATTTCTAGATTTAATTGGGAAGTTGCGATAAATTCTTTCGCTCGGCTTTTACAATTAGGGCTAATACACCTTAAGTATCGAACATTATTGTTTTTAACTAACCCCAAGATGAATAAATACCCATTCGAGATGATATAATCGCTATTTAAAGGACCTTTTACGTACGAATAAGAAAATTCGCCAATTTTCGAATCGTTATTTAGCGGAGATTTATTTTGACACGTTTTCATTTCGTTTTCTTCGTCGTCTCCTTTTAGGATTGTGATTAATTCTTCGTTGGAGGGTGTTGTTTTTGGAATTTCGAGGCGAATTTTTTTCGTGCCTTGATTTTTTAACTTCTCTTTAAACATTTTGTTGGTTTTTAAACACTTTAAGCGGAATTTAAACGCTTTTTGGAGCAATTTCATACAATTTGTGCAAATAAATTTGGGTAAATTATCCATTTTTGTGATCTAATCGAAAAAGAATTAATTATAACCTCACCTACTCATTAAAACAAAAAAGTATAATTCAAGAATCATTATGTCGCTTCAAAATCTAATACTGCTAGTAAAAGGAGATATGGTCTCCAAAAAAGGTACCTACTACTTCCAAAATGCTAGATACTGGTGGAAAAGATTACAATCTGCTTGGAAAGACGAGATACTGCTTCCATAAGACTAATTACTGCTTTCAGAGCGCTATATACTACTAGAAAAGATTACAACCTGCTTGAAGAAGACTAAATACTGCTAGAAGAAACTATTAAAACTCCTTTCGACGACAAACACTACCTACACAATACTAGAAACTGCTTGCAGAAGACAGATATTGTCAATAGAAGGCTAGGTACTGCTACCAATACACTACAAATTGATAGCAGAATACTAATACTGCTTGTAGCAGACCAAATACTGCCGCCAGAAGACTAAAAACTAGTCAAAGTGGCCAGACGCCAACGCCCTCTCGGTCATCTTCTTCGAATAATTTGATACAAAATTAAACTTTAAAATTAACACCACCTTTTAAAACCTTGTATCATATCCAAATTATTATTAATAAAATAAAATCATTATTTAAAATAAAATTAATAAAATAATAAGTAATGACACCTATCGTAATTATAACCCAAAAATTATTGATAGAAATCTACTTTACCTACTAATGACATTTAACTGTCATGAATCATGATTATTGGTTGCCTATCTTAAAATATTGAAATAAAATTATTAAAAAGACACTGAATTTAACAGTTAATATCTAAATAATGTTTTATTGGGGATCTTTATTCGTGGACGACGCATACATGGGGAAAAATCCTTGAGACAGGATAAGATTGTTGTGAATATATATAATAAACAGAGTTTGTGGAATTTGAGGTTAACCTAAAGCGAAATCAATCAAAATAATGTGGATTTGGAAATTAATCAGAAATAATGGAGTTTGATAAAGAATAAAGAAAGTTTTTCAAAAAAGAACAAGAAAATCTGTAAAGTTATGTCAAAGATCACCTCAACCTCGTTTTTAAAAGTTACAAAATGATTTATGTCTTAAAATAAAGGTAAAAGACTCTATTTTAAGATAGAAAATGCTAGTAAAAGATTAAAAACTGCTTGGAATGAGGAAATACTGTTTCAAAAAGTTACCTACAGCTTCTAAAATGCTAGATACTGCAGAAAAAGACCACAACATTGCTTTCAAAGACTTCCCAAAAAGATACCTAATGCTGCCAAAAAGTTAAATACTACTGGGAAGACTAATAACTACTTGGAAAAAGGAGATATGGTCTCCAAAAAAGATACCTACTACTTCCAAAATGCTAGATACTGGTGGAAAAGATTACAATCTGCTTGGAAAGACGAGATACTGCTTCCATAAGACTAATTACTGCTTTCAGAGCGCTATATACTACTAGAAAAGATTACAACCTGCTTGAAGAAGACTAAATACTGCTAGAAGAAACTATTAAAACTCCTTCGACGACAAACACTACCTACACAATACTAGAAACTGCTTGCAGAAGACAGATATTGTCAATAGAAGGCTAGGTACTGCTACCAATACACTACAAATTGATAGCAGAATACTAATACTGCTTGTAAAAGACTAAATACTGCCGTCAGAAGACTAAAAACTCCTTGCGGAAGGCAAATACTACCTATATAATACTAAAAATGCTTGCAGAAAATAGATATTGTCTATAAACAGCTAAGTACTGCTACCAACAGACTAGAAATTGGTTGCAGAATACTAATATTGCTTGTAGAAGAGCAAACATTGCCGCTAGAAGATTAAAAATGCCTTGTGGAAGACAAATACTACCAATATAATACTAAAAAATGCTTGCAGAAGATAAATATTGTCTATAAAAGGTTAATTATTGCTACCAATAGACTACACATTGATTGCAGAATACTAATATTGCTTGTAGAAGACCAAACACTGCCGCCAGAAGATTAAAAATGCTTTGTGGAAGACAAATACTACCAATATAATACTAAAAAATGCTTGCAGAAGATAGATATTGTCTATAAACGATTAGTTATTGCTACCAATAGACTACACATTGATTGCAGAATACTAATACTGCTTGTAGAAGACTAAATACTGTCGACAGAAGACTAAAAACTCCTTGCAAAAGACTAATACTACCTATACAATACTAGAAACTGCTTTAAAAGATAGATATTGTCTATAAACAGCTAGGTACTGCTACCAACAGACTAAAAATTGGTTGCAGAATACTAATATTGCTTGTAGAAGAGCAAACACTGCCGCCAGAAGATTAAAAATGCTTTGTGGAAGACAAATACTACCAATATAATACTAAAAAATGCTTGCAGAAGATAGATATTGTCTATAAACGGTTAGTTATTGCTACCAATAGACTACACATTGATTGCAGAATACTAATATTGCTTGTAGAAGACCAAATACTGCCGCCAGAAGACTAAAAACTCCTCGCGGAAGACAAATACTAAGAATACAATATTAAAAAATTTTTGTAGAAGATAGATATTGTCTATAGAAGGTTAGTTATTGCTACCAATAGACTACACATTGATTGCAGAATACTAATACTGCTTGTGGAAGACTAAAAACTTCATGCGAAAGATTAATACTACCTATATAATACTAGAAACTGCTTAAAAAGATAGATATTGTCTATAAAAGGTTAGGTACTGCTACCAACAGACTAGAAATTGGTTGCAGAATACTAATATTGCTTGTAGAAGACCAAATACTGCTGACAGAAGACTAAGAACGCTTTGCGAAAGACTAATACTACCTATACAATACTAGAAACTGCTTAAAAAGATAGATATTGTCTATAAAAGGCTAGGTACTGCTACTAACCAGTGACATGATTATCAACTGGACTGCGTGTTCGCCGAATAAAGTGATGCCAGTACGGTATGCAACCAACATTTGCCATTGTAGGCTCTTACTAAAATAGCACAATAAGACAAGTACGAGCAAGTTGCTTCATGTGAATATCTAAAATGACATTATTAAAAAAAATGATTTTCGTCGAAATTTGAACTTGTTTATAAACAGGTACTTTGTCATTTTGTCACTGACAAAAGTACAGCAGGTCAGAAAATTGCATAGTAGAAGGGTATTTTTCTTATTTGCGCATTTATCAGCCCCGCAATAGCATTAACCTCGCTTTTGCCTACAATGGTCACTGTTGGTTGTCTAACCTATTGGCATCACTCCTTTACACGGGAATTATGCGGAGCATTCAATCCAGTTAATAATCATGTCACTGCTACCAACAGATTAGAAATTGGTTGCAGAATACTAATATTGCTTGTAGAAGACCAAATACTGCCTACAGAAGACTAGAAACTCCTCGCGGAAGACAAATACTACCAATACAATACTAAAAAATGCTTGCAGAAGATAGATATTGTCTGTAGAAGGTTAGTTATTGCTACCAATAAAGTACACATTGATTGCAGAATACTAATACCGCTTGTAGAAGACTAATACTACCTATACAATGCTAGAAACTGTTTAAAAAGATAGATATTGTCTACCAACAGATTAGAAATTGGTTGCAGAATACTAATATTGCTTGTAGAAGACCAAATACTGCCGCCAGAAGACTAAAAACTCCTGGCTGGAAACAAATACTAGCTACACAATACTAAAAAATGCTTACAGAAGATAGATACTGTCTATGAAAGGTTAGCTATTGCTACCCATAGACCACACATTGATTGCAGAATACTAATACTGCTTGTAGAAGACTAAATACTCCTTGCAAAAGACTAATAGTACCTATACAATGCTAGAAACTGCTTTAAAAGATAGATATTGTCTATAATAGGCTAGGTACTGCTACTAACAGACTAGAAATTGGTTGCAGAATACTAATATTGCTTTTAGAAGAACAAATACTGCCGGCAGAAAACTAAAAACTCCTTGCGGAAAACAAATACTACCTATACAATACTAAAAAATGTTTGCAGAAGATAGATACTGTCTATAGAAGGTTAGCTATTGCTACCCATAGACCACACATTGATTGCAGAATACTAATACTGCTTGTAGAAGACTAAATACTCCTTGCAAAAGACTAATAGTACCTATACAATACTAGAAACTGCTACCAACAGGCTAGAAATTGCTATGTCATATTTGGGTGACAAAGAATCGAGTGTTGTAGCAGCAATTGTTAAATCTGCAATGGAAGGGACACAGAAGGATATCACTAAACAGAAGAATAATTTCAGTAAATAGTCTTCAGCCAATAGTATTGTAATCTCCAAACACTTAGTAGTGTTTTGCCAGCAGTATACAGGGTGTTTCGGAGAACAAATTTAACCACATATACTAGAGTGAAAATGATGATGATTCATATAAATAAAAATTAGTAAGTCTTCAAATTTCAAAGATACAGGCCATCAAAGTTAAGAAATTTTAACACATTTTTCCAAATATCTTAAACACTATTTACAGTAAAGCGCTGAAGTTTGGTACAGTATAAATCAATGTGGTGTAAAATCGTTAGGCAATTTATTAGTTGAATCGGTCCGCGGGAACAATGCTATATAGGCTGTTTCTAAAGTTTGTTTGCCCAGAACTTTTTTATTCTGTCATAACCCTACATTTATGTTTGCAGTTTCTAATAGTAAATTTAGTTTAGAAACTTTTATTACTCTTAGGTAATATTGATAAAAATCACTGTTTTCGTGTTAAATGCAAAAATGTTACACTACATGTGGTTACATTTGTTCCCCAAGTCACCAAAACACCCTGTATAGTTTTCTGAAAACATAAAATAGTCTTTGCCAACAGTATCTAGCTTTCTGAAAGTAGTTAATAGTCTTTTGAAAGCAGTATCTTGCATTTCCAAGCAGATAATAGTTTCTCCCAGCAGTATTTAGCAGATTGTAATCTTTTCCACCAGTGTCTAGCTTTTTAGAAGCAGTAGGTAACTTTTTGAAATAGTATTTTCTCTTTATAAGCAGTTTTTAGTCTTTTACTAGCAGTATTTCAACTTCTGATAGCAATAATTAGTCTTTTGCCAACAGTATCTAGCATTGTTAGTTCTAGTGACAGTGAGATGTAGAACTTTACTTTTAACTTTATCAGATTAATTTTGTGCATGGCTTTAAAATAAACAATCAGCATGATTTCAGTATGTTCTACACTTTCTTTTTATGTTCAACATGTTTTTTGGTCATTTCACATGATGATTCTTGAATTTTTCCCAAAAAATTTAAACTTACAACAATCGGGTATGAACACAACATAATCATCGACATCACAGTAGTCCCATTTTCGGTTTTCTCAAAAATATTTCGTTCCAAATTTTCGTTACAGCCACAAACTCTGCATGCTTTCAGGTTTTCGTCTGAGTCCCAATTAATCTCTTCTTCCTCCATGAAAGGAATTGCACCTTTTCTTAGAACTACCAAGTTTCGCACGCTTTCCGGATTCAAATCCGTTTCTAATCCATCTAAATTAAATAATTTTAATAAATTAAAATTTTAAATAATAACGTAGAAACAAACTCACCAAAATTCGATTGTTCAATAATGTCACTTGGCCTAAAATGGTCCAAACACACAAAGCTTTTTTCGTTAGGCTCAACTCCTTCCGTTCCCAAACTCTCCAACCATTTCCGCTTAGTTCCTGGATTTTCCGGAAACGGCATACCCAAAGAATTATTGCAATCGGGAACGAAACAAGACATTTTCTACCTTAAAATACGTTTTTCTTAGCCCATATGACAGTTGGTGTTATTGACCCTGAAAAAGGAGACATCTATCGTTAAATCAATGTAAATAGCATTTTGATTAATTTTATTGATAATAGATGGCGAAATTTATTATTATTTTATTAAAATTCAATAAGAAAATACCTCTAAAATACTTTAATAACATAATTATCGTTATCGTTTTGTGATATGTTTTTTAAACAACTCCATCGAAACATAACCTAACCATCTATCCTCAAACAAACCAAAAATATGATAACTTATTTTATATGTTATTTTTAATAAACATAAACAAAAATTCCAACTACTTACATAATTTTAAAACGTTTTAAATGTTTTATTTCTTTGTTAATCTTAAAATGAATTAGTTTGAATCGACGCGCCATCAACAAACTGTCATTTAGATTTTTGACATAAAACCAAAATAATCGTGAAGTTATCTCAAAACCATAAATTACATAACCTAACTTTTTTCATATTGATACAAAAATGAAAAAATTAAAAAGTGATTCGTTTATAATTTATTATGGATTATATTTCTTAAGAATTGTATTATGTAGTTTTAACCCCACAAAATGGGGAAGAATTTTTTTAATTAATAATTTATTAAAATAACAACAAACAGAGACATCTATCGTTAAATTGATACAAATAGCACCCGTTTCCATTAATTATTAACCTCAAATAATAGATGGCGCAATGTTTAATTATTATTTTATTAAAATTTATCAAAATGTGATATAACCCCACCATAAAAATACCTAAAAACACTTTAATAACACAATTATCTTTATTTTTTTGTGGTATGTTATTTAAAACAGTCAGACGTTTATCAACAATGATATCGAACGAAAGAAATTTCAAAGCAGCCTTGATCCAAATGACAGTGGGTACTGATCGAGATAAAAACTTAGAGAATGCAAAAAAATTAATCGGAGAGGCTGCTAGAAATGGGGCAAAACTTGTGGTGCTTCCCGAATGTTTTAATTCGCCGTATGGGACGAAATTTTTTAGTCAATACGCTGAGACGATCCCCGAAGGACAATCGAGTCAGGTTTTATCGAAAGCGGCGAAAGATAACCAAGTTTTTTTAATTGGGGGGTCGATTCCTGAAAAAGGAATTAACGAAAAATATTACAATACTTCAACGACGTGGAATCCTAACGGAGAGTTGGTCGCGAAGTTTCGAAAAATGCATCTTTTCGATATCGATATTCCAGGAGGGATTACATTCAAAGAATCGGATATATTACACGGGGGAAACGATTTGGCGACTTTTGAGATGGGCAAGACGAAAATCGGGGTTGGAATTTGTTACGATTTGCGATTTGAAGAGCTAGCAAAACTTTATAGGATGAAAGGGTGTGAAATTTTGGTTTATCCAGGAGCTTTTAACATGACGACAGGCCCTATGCATTGGGAAATTCTTCAGAGAGGTCGCGCTTTGGATAATCAAGTGTATGTTATGGCTTGTAGCCCCGCGAGGAATCAACAAGGTTACATCGCTTTTGGACATTCGCAAATCACCAATCCGTGGGGGAAAGTTATTGCCCAAGCTGGACATGAAGAGGAAATTATTTATGGCAATATTGATTTGGGAGAATGCGATAAAATTAGACAACAAATCCCTATTTGGGATCAAAGGAGAACTGATATTTATGATACTCAACATAAACAGTAAAAAAGATCTGCTTTAATGCGTTTATAACCTCAAAATGTGTTACAAACGTCAACTGTAATCAATAGAAATGTTTATTTTAATATGTTTTAAACGATTTTAAAGAATAAAATAAAAAAAATAAATAAATATAATCCTATATAAGTGTAATAATCAGTATTTTTAACATAACTTAGTTTGAATTGACGCGCCATCAACTAACTGTCACTTTGACATTAAATCAAAACAAACGTGAAGTTATCTCCAAATTATAAATCTATTTTTTTAACATTTTATTTTAACATTCAGTTTCTATTCTATTTCTAGGCCTTGTTTTAGTTCTAGTTTTACTTCAATAAAAATACACAACATAATAATAATTTATGCTAAATAGCGCTGCCTATCACTGGCACTAGAACTAATACTAGACCAAAAACTAGAAACATTCGGGTTTAGTCGCACTTCTCTTAAGACGGAGAAATGTCAAGGAAAAAATGTCAAAAATTAAGGTTGGTATTAATATTTAAAAATTAAGTTGCTATCTTCATTGTTGCCAACTTCAGGTTTAATACTTTTATTCTCATTTGAATGGTTATTTAATAAGAAATTCGAATACATCAAAATTAAAGTTGACATTAACACCATGAAGTTGTCAACTTTGAAATGTCAACCTCAATTTTGGCGTATTTGTAATCGTCATTAAGAATCCTTTGAAATGAGTACCAACACGACATATTTCATTTCAATATTAATGACGTTATGACCAATTTCCGGCTTGAAATGTCAACGTTAATTTTGACATAATCGTAATTTTATCAAAATATCTTTTAAAATAAATATAATTTTTCATAAAAAACGAAAATAGAAGAAAAAATATGAAAAATTAAGGTTGGTATTAATGTTTAAAAATTATGTTGCTAACTTAATTGTTGCCAACTTCAGGTTTAATATTTTTTATTCTAATTTTTTTTTTGTTTTTCGAGATAAATGCGTCATATTTGGGTTCATTTGAAAGGTTATTTAATAAGGATTACGAAAACATCAAAATTAAACTTGACATTAACACCATGAAGTTGTCAACTTTGAAATGTCAACCTCAATTTTGGCGTATTTGTAATCGTCATTAAGAATCCTTTGAAATGAGTACCAACACGACATATTTCATTTCAATATTAATGAAGTTATTGCCAATTTCCGGTTTGAAATGTCAACGTCAATTCTGATATATTCGTAATTTTATCAAAATGTGTTAAAATAAATATAATTTTTCATAAAGCACGATAATACAAGAAAAAATATCAAAAATTAAGGTTGGTATTAATGTTTAAAAAATATGTTGCTAACTTAATTGTTGCCAACTTCAGGTTTAATATTTTTTATTCTAATTTTTTTTGTTTTTCGAGATAAATGCGTCATGTTTGGGTTCATTTTAAAGGTTATTTAATAAGGATTACGAAAACATCAAAATTAAAGTTGACATTAACACCATGAAGTTGTCAACTTTGAAATGTCAACCTCAATTTCGATATATTTGTAATCGTCCTGAAAAATCCTTTAAAATGAGTCGTTTAATTCTAATATTACTCGAGATATAAGCAACTTCCTGATTGAAATGTCACCAATTGAAATGTCAATGTCATTTTGACATATTCTCAATTTTTATAAAATCTCTTAATATTTGTCACAAAAACGAAAATATAATAAAAAAAATTAAAAATTAAGGTTAGTATTAATATTTAAAAATTAAATTTCTATCTTCATTGTTGCTAACTTCGGGTTTAATGTTTTTTATTCTAACTTTTTTGTTATTTGAGATAAGTGCATCATCTTTGTATCTTCATTAATATCAAAGTTAAATATGTCGAGTTTGGACTCATTTTAAAGGATTTTTTATAAAGTTGACAAGTACATATGTCAAAATCAATTCTTGATCCAACTTTTTGGTTTTTTGAGATAAATGTGTCATGTTTGGATTCACTTTAAAAATTATTTTATAAAGATTGAGAATATTATAATAAAATTAAAATTGACATTGACAGAACTAGATTTAGTTCAATAAAACTATAATTGTCAACCAGCGCCATCTCTTAGAGATAGGGTGAAATATTCGATAATTTAAAATTAATATTGAATGTTAATTATAATTATAACAACTTTAATTTGATTTACATATATTGATTTTTATAAAAACTAAAACTATTCATATAAATTTTTATCTATAATTTATATATTATTGATTTATAAAAAAAAGCGCACTAAAATTGTTGTATATCCTCTCAACGTAGAAAATAATTGTTGTTAAAATGACGTTAGACACACCTCTCGCAGAAGTAACGATTAAAAATGTTATTTCAAATCAACAAAAACTTTTTAACAATTAAGTAGCGCCATCTCTATGTGACAAACGAAAATACAACAACTGTCATTTGAACTTGTCACAACAATTTTATTTATTGTAAATTAATAATTAATAACAGTCGTTGTGATTAAATGGTGCATTATTTCAATAAATTATAATTACAGGGATTATTTAAGTAATTAGCGTTAAAGAAAAAAGTTGTCATAACCTAAAACTTTTTTATTAATTTATAAAAACACTTTAATTGTTGCATAACTTCTACATACTTGTAAAATTGTTGTTTATAATTGTTAAAATGACACATATAACAGAAACTATCAAAGAAGTTATTAATAATATTATTGCAAATGAAAGTGCAACACCAATAATAACCGTTGAGGCTGGTTCAAGCGTTGGAGATGGATTTCTTGGGGTAACAGCATTGGTGAAGGTTGAATTAAACAAAGAAATGTCACATTATTTCATAAAAATGGCTGCAACAGATCCGCAACTACGCAAAGTGACCTTACAAAGAGATATATTTGAAAAAGAAATTTATTTCTACTCAAAACTATACCCTATACTCAATAAATTATGTTTGAAATACATAAAACAGACTTTCGATGTGGTTCCAAAGCCAATCTTCACACAATTAGATGATTTAAAAGAGTGTATTGTGATGGAAAATTTAACAACAGAGAATTATCGAGTTTTAAAAGATAAAGACACCTTAAACAAAGAACATTTAATGATGATTTTGAAGAAATATGCTCTTTTACATGCTTGTGGTTTTATTTTAAAGCAAGAACATGGTGGGATTTTTAATGAATTACTTGATTCGAAAAATAATTTGATGGGGCAACTTAACACAACTCTTGGGTTTGATACATTATTAGTAAATCCAAGCTTAGATCTTTTAAAAAAACATTGTACATTAGAAAATGATGAGGAAATTTTATCAAATATAGAGAGGATTCGAGATAAATCTAAAAACTTTGTCAATGTAATCGAAAATATTGATGAATATAACACTTTACTTCACATAGATTGTTGGAGAAATAACATAATGTTTAAATATATGGTAAAAATCATTCTTTAATATGAAAATTCATTAATTTAAGTTGTCATTTAATTTTAGGGAAATAAATTAGAAAATATTAAAATAATAGATTTCCAAACATGGTCAATAAACTCCCCCATCTTCGATATTTCCATTTTAATTTACACAACATCTGCATCTCAAGAAAATCTTGACAACATTGATGAATATCTTAATTACTACCACATTTGTTTAAACTATTATTTAAGTAAAATGGGAGGAAACGTGAAAGAGTTGTACCCTAGTCACGTTTTATTTGAACAATGGAAAAAGTACGCTTATTACGGTTTATTTTACGGAATTATTTGTTTAAGAGGTCTATTTGCGGGCCCCGATTCAACACCCAACATCCTACAACATATTCGAGATGGTAAACCACTCAATCAGATATTTTATTTTGAAATTGAAAACGAAAAAGAATATTGTGATAGAATTAAAATTATGATTAAGCATTTTATTAAGAATAAATATTAATGATTTATCAACAAAAACGTTTTGACAAACACCTTTTTGACAGTTAAGTAGCGCCATCTCTATGTGACAAATGAAAATTTAACTGTCATTTGAACTCGTCAACAACTTTATTTATTGTGAATTATTTAATAACACTCGATTAAGTGGTGTATTATTCAACAAATTATAATTACAGGGATTATTTAAATAATTATATTAATTAGCGTTAAAACACAAACAAAGTTGTCATAACCTCAAAAAATTGATATTTATTTATAAAAAAATCACTTAATTGTTGCATAACTACTACTTACGTGTAAAATTATTGTTTATTATTACGGTTTATGTTATGGAATTATTTGTTTAAGAGATTTATTTGCGGGCACCAATTCGACAATCAACATTCTACAACATATTCGAGATGGTAAACCACTCAATCAGATATTTTATTTTGAAATTGAAAATGAAAAAGAATATTGTGATAGAATTAAAATTATGATTAAGCATTTTATTAAGAAGAAGTATTTATGATTTATCAACAAAAACGCTTTGACAAACACCTTTTTGACAGTTAAGTAGCGCCATCTCTATGTGACAAATGAAAATTTAACTGTCATTTGAACTCATCAACAACTTTATTTATTGGGAATTATTTAATAACAATCGATTAAGTGGTGTATTATTTCAACAAATTATAATTACAGGGATTATTTAAGTAATTGTATTAATTAACGTTAAAACACAAAAAAGTTGTCATAACCTCAAAAAATTGATATTTATTTATAAAAAAATCACTTAATTGTTGCATAACTTCTACTTACGTGTAAAATTATTGTTTATTATTACGATTTATGTTATGGAATTATTTGTTTAAGAGATTTATTTGCGGGTCTCGATTCGACACCCAAAATCCTACAACCTTGAAAGCACCTTTTTTAACAATTAAGAGTAGCGCCATCTCTATGTGACAAATGAAAATACAACTGTCATTTTTTGAAGTTGTCACAATAACTTTATTTATTGTGAATTTATAATAAATAATAATTAAATTGACTAGAGAAAATTGATTTAAGTAAATTTTATCGCATTTTAATTTCATACAAGTTCAAAGAAAAGCTTTTTAAAAGACTCAAAAAGCTGTTAGAAATCTCATCAAAATGAAGATTCTTAAAATCGACCATTGTTAATAAATAAAAAAGCTCGTTAAAGTTGGGCAAAGCTTCCGTGCTAAGGTGCGGATAAAACTTCTTGGTTAATTCGATTTCAATAAAATTATATTTTTTTGAGACGTTATTAAATTGTTGGTTTAAAGATGCAGGGAGGAGCATAAAAAATCGATTTTTTCGTTTATCCATCGATGAAACTCTCACAATATTAACCATTTTTTCATAAACTGAACTCAAATCGTTACTTCCTTCTTCATAAAAGAAAACTCTTTTGCTCATTTGAAATTTAGTGCGTCTTGATTCATAAATTTTTTCAATTTTGGGTTGTTTATAAAGAATTTGAGGCACCATGTAAATGTTGCTGGTGAAAATGTTGTACTTTGTATTGGGTTGTTTAGCAATTTCGCTCGATAAATAATTCGAAGCTGGATAAATCCCCCCTTGGTGGATAAAACCGAAAAAAATTCCAAAAATTAGGTTTAAAATTATCCATAATGTTAATTTGTTATCGGATTTGAATTCTTTCTTGTTAATTTCCGTTGTTGGTTCTATTTTTATTACGGAACGTTCTGGTTCTTGGTAAATCTTCTCGGAAAAGATATAACTTAATGGAATTATTAGTGGGATTAAGAATCTCGGCTCTTGATGGGGAATGTATGATAATAATAAGATTGGGACCAACAACGATGTTATCATTAATCCTTTTATGCTTCGAATTGTCGGTAATAAATGATATTTTTTCTTAGAAAACCTAAAAAAATCAAGGTATAATTCAAGAATCATGCCGCTTAAAAATCGACGGGAAATCACTCAAGTAAGCCGTTACAAATAAAGAAAGTGTAAAACTTACCAAAAAATTACTTTAAAGTTTCGACGTGACGTCATCATATTTTAGCATCAAATTTGGTTAAAACTATCAGGTGTTAATGTTAACTTTAATTTTATTATTATATTCGTAATATTTATAAAACAACCTTTAAAATGAGACCAAACATGACGTACTTATCTCAAAAAACAAAAAAGTTAGAATAAAAAACATTAAACCCGAAGTTAGCAACAATGAATGAACAATTAATATAAATAAATATGTCGTGTTTGTATTCATTTTAAAGGTTTTTTAATGAAGATTACAAATATGTCAAAAGTGAGGTTGACATTTTAAACCGGAAGTCGACCATAACTTCATTAATATTGAAGATAAATATGTCGTGTTTGTACTCATTTTAAAGGTTTTTTAATGAAGATTACAAATATGTCAAAATTGAGGTTGACATTTTAAATCTGAAGTTAGTTGTCACATAATAGACAAATGGACAACTTCATGGTGTTATTTAATGATGTGTTCTTTATTACAAAAGATTCGTAAAACCGTATTCCGAAATATTAGATACTGCTGGAAAAAACTAATAATTAGTTGGAAAGAAGAGATATACTGTCCAAAAAGGTACCTACTGCTCTCAAAATGCTAGATACTGGTGGAAAAGATTACAATCTGCTTGGAGAAGACTAGATAATGCTAACAAACAACTACAAATTGCTTGGAAAGACGAGATACTGCTTCCATAAGACTACTTACTGCTTTCAGAGCGCTATATACTATTAGAAAAGATTACAACCTGTTTGGAGAAGACTAAATTCTGCTGGGAGAAACTATTATCTGCTTTTAAAGATAAGATACTGCTTTCAAAAGACTATTAACTACTTTCAGAATGCTAAATATTGTTGGAGACTATTTAGAACTTTCAGAATTTAGAACTTTCAGATTTAGACTTTCAGAAGACTATATACTGCTGCTAAAACACTATTAAGTGCTTGCAGATTACAATACTATTTACTGAAACTATTCTTCTGTTTAGTGATATCTTTTTATGTCCCTTCCATTACAAATTTAAAAATTGCTGCTATAACACTCGATTCTTTGTCACCCAAATACGACATACCAATTTCTAGTCTATTGGTAGCAGTACCTAGCCGTTTATAGACAATATCTATCTTTTAAAGCAGTTTCTAGTATTGTATAGGTAGTATTAGTATTTCACAAGAAGTTTTTCGTCTTCTGTCGGCAGTATTTAGTCTTCTACAAGCAGTATTAGCATTCTGCAATCAATGTGTAATCTATTGGTAGCAATAACTAATCTTCTTTTTAAAAACCTTTAAAATGAGTTGTTATGCATCGAAACTTTCGATTCGAAAGCCTAAGAAAAACAAAACGTCACAAAACGTAATGTTACATCGAAAGTTTAATGTGTGATGTAATGCATTTTTCCGCATTTTCTTTTTATTTTTAACGAGTTTTTTGGGTGATTTCGCATTGATTAAAAAAACAGCTTGCCACGTGACGCGCCCATTATGATTAAATTTTTCCAAAATCAATTAACCTCAAAATACAGTTTTGGCAACGTCGCTAACTTCGCTTCTCTCTGGATGAGAGATGAGAAGCGAAGTGAGCGACGTTGCCAAAACTTAATTTTGAGGTTATACTCACTTTATAAGGAAATCTCCAAACATTACAAAAACATAAACACCCATTACATTAAAAAGTAATGGTATATTAACCAAAACATGTAAATATCTTGGATGTAACCCATGTTCTTTGCTATCTTTTAAGTTATACTTGATGAAATTTAACCCAGGAACAACAAAACTATCGATGGAAACATCCAACATCCCCAATTCGCCCCACGAGATATACCCATAATAAAAAGAATCGATTACAACCAAAATAATAATAACAGGAACTGAAGATAAAATAAGAACCAACATCCGCAAATGAAACTGCATATTTGATACCGATTTAAACCCCATCCCTCGATTTAACCAAAAAAACACGGGAAAAACAGCAAAAAATAAAAATGTGGGTCGATTAAAAACCCCAAAAACACTTATCACACTGATTTGAAAGAAATTCCGAAAACTATGCGACGCCAAAAACAATCGTAATTTATGAAAACGCGCTTTTTCTGCAGGAGTTTTCGATTTTTCGTAACGTTTGCGCAAATACTCGTGATGCTTCACAATCACATTAGAAAAAATCATACTTTCAGCTACGAAATACAACAATAAAGCGAACGAAATCAACTCTAAAGTGTTACTAAAAGTACGAGTTCCAAAAATTAGCATAACATACGAACTCGATAAAACTACCAATTTCGATTTGTACCTCTCATTGTTGTTTTTGCATATTTTATAAACCGACCAATCGCATAAAAACGATAATAAACAAATAAATAATCTCGGAGTTACGAGTAAACTGTACGGAGTTATTAAGCCCTTAAAAAGCATGCTGGACATTTTTAAAATGTTATAACTTAATCCTGTCGTTACGTATTGAGGGCCTATGCTGCGAATTGGAAATGTTACGTTGAAATCCCACGGGATGTTTCCATCTAATTCGAAAATGTTACCTAAAAAGATTCGTGATAACTAAAATCGAATTGTGACATAACCTTACTCGCAAAAACTTCGATTGATTGGAAAAATTCGTCCGGGTGTATGTACCCGTTTTGTGGGGTTAAAACTAACAGAATTCTTAACAAACATAATCCATAATAAATTAGGAACGAATCACTGTTTAATTTTTTCATTTTTGTATCGATATGAACAAAGTTAGGTTATGTAAATAAAGATTTATTGTTTTGGGGATAACTTCACGTTTGTTTTGTCGTTTGTCAATTCAAATTATACTCTATTTTTTAATTCAGGCATTTTTTTATAGATTATTTATATATATGTATTGTTATTATATGTTATGTGATTATTGTTTAAACATAATAAAAACCAGGGTGTACCGAGCCCCAGGGATCTTTGATAGCAGAACTTGGGACTGATTGTATGTCGATATCCCCCCGTAAGATGGCATTAGGTCTATACTGAAATAATTTAATTAAACTAACAATTTTATTATTAATAGTGGGAATGATGAGTGGCAGCAATAACAATTATTGCCAGTATCATTCTTTTAATTTAAAAAGTATAGATTCCAATTCGTTTTATATTTTTAAATTTGCCGCTAACTTCAACTTTTAAAAGTTGAAGTTTGTTCAGAATGACAGATGAAAACGTCATTTTAAAATGATTTTTCGGTAAGAGTATAATAAAGTAATAATGTTAGAATTAAATAATTAGATTATAATCGACATTATAGCATTGTTTCAGCTAACGTTATAACTGGTTGGAAGCTCATCAGATGCAGTCTCACATATCATATGATGCAGTGATATTCAAATGTGGCAGAATTATTTCACAGGTGTAATTGCCATAGGTAATTGCATCTGAGGAATTCCCAACCATTCGGAACGTTAATTGGAGCCACATAGTGGTTGAAAACCACTTTCCAAACAGTTATTCTGTGGTTGGAACTTTTATATATAAACCCAATCCACCTGTATTCTAGTGGTTCGGTTCTTAGCTGAATAATTCTAAAATATCCCCAATAGATGGCGCCACATGCGTTCAATTTTTAGTACGAAGTTTTTGTTTAGAGAGTTGCATTTCTACGAAGCTATTTTCTATGGGTGTACCTACTTACTTTGTCCCACATAAAATGCAACATGTCAATATAATTTGACATTACACTAAAATCTCGATATAACGGATCAATACGGGAACGCAGTGTCCGTATAGTTCAATAAAAATATACAATAATCTAGCGCTGAATAACAACATACTTTCTAGTTCTAGGTCTAGTGTTAGTTCAAGTTTTATTTCAATACAAATGATTTGGGTATTTTTTGAAAGAGTTAGGATGCATTACTAAAAGATGTTAATGTCAACTTTAATTTTATTGCTATATTCGTAATCTTTATAAAATAACCTTTAAAATGAGGCCAAACATGACGCACTTAAAAAACAAAAAAGTTAGAATAAAAAATGTAAGACCCGGTGTTGGCAACAATGAAGTTAGCAACATAATTTTTAAATATTAATACCAACCTTAATTTTTGATATTTTTTCTTGTATTTTGGTTTTTTTAATTAAAAATTATATTTATTTTAAGACATTTTGATAAAATTACGAATATATCAAAATTGACGTTGACATTTCAAACCGGAAATTGGCAATAACTTCATTAATATTGAAATGAAATATGTCGTGTTGGTACTAATTTCAAAGGATTCTTAATGATGATTGCAAATACGTCAAAATTGAGGTGGTCATTTCAAAGTTGACAACTTCATGGTGTATTCAAAAGTGTATTTAGCATTCTGAAAGTAGTTAATAGTCTTTTAAAGCAGATAATAGTTTCTCCCAGCAGAATTTAGTCTTCTCCAAACAGGTTGTAATCTTCTCTAATAGTAATCTAATCTGCTCTGAAAGCAGTAAGTAGTCTTATGGAAGCAGTATCTCGTCTTTCCAAGCAATTTGTAGTTGTTTGTTAGTATTATCTAGTCTTAGTAGTTTTCAGGTTTAAAATGTGAACCTCAACTTTGACATATTTGTAATCTTCATTAAAAAACCTTTAAAATGAGTACAAACACGACATATTTATCTTCAATATTAATCAAGTTATGGTCGACTTCCGGTTAATGCTTTTCTATTCTCCTTTTTGTTTTTTGATAGAAATGCATCATGTTTGGACTCATTTTAAAGGTTTTTATAATAAAGAATACATCATGAAATAACAACATGAAGTTGTCCATTTGTCTATTATATGACAACTAACTTCAGGTTTAAAATGTCAATCTCATTTTTGACATATTTGTAATCTTCATTAAAATACCTTTAAAATGAATACAAACACGACATATTTATCTTCAATATTAATGAAGTTATGATCGACTTCCGGTTAGAAATGTCAACGTCAATTTTGACATATTTGTAATTTTCATTAAAAAACCTTTAAAATCATTCCAAATATGATACGTTTAATTCCAATATTACTCGAGATATAAGCAACTTCCGGTTTGAAATGTCAACGTCATTTTGATATATTATTAATTTTTATAAAATGTCTTAAAATTTGTGACAAAAACAAAAATATAATAAAAAAAAATAAAAAATTAAGGTTGGTATTAATATTTAAAAAATCTTCATTGTTGCTAACTTTGGGTTTAATGTTTTTTTATTCTAACTTTTTTTGTTCCTTGAGATAAGTACGTCATGTTTGGTCTCATTTTAAAGGTTGTTTTATAAATATTACGAATATAATAATAAAATTAAAGTTAACATTAACACCTGAAAGTTTTAACCAAATAATGTGATGCTAAAATATGATGACGTCACGCCGAAACATTAAAGTAATTTTTTGGTAAGTTTTACACTTTTTCTTTATTTGTAACGGCTTACTTGAATGATTTCCCGTCGATTTTTAAGCGGCATGATGATTCTTGAATTATACCTTGATTTTTTTTAGGTTTTCTAAGAAAAAATATCATTTATTACCGACAATTCGAAGCATAAAAGGATTAATGATAACATCGTTGTTGGTCCCAATCTTATTATTATCATACATTCCCCATCAAGAGCCGAGATTCTTAATCCCACTAATAATTCCATTAAGTTATATCTTTTCCGAGAAAATTTACCAAGAACCAGAACGTTCCGTAATAAAAATAGAACCAACAACGGAAATTAACAAGAAAGAATTCAAATCCGATAACAAATTAACATTATGGATAATTTTAAACCTAATTTTTGGAATTTTTTTCGGTTTTATCCACCAAGGGGGGATTTATCCAGCTTCGAATTATTTATCGAGCGAAATTGCTAAACAACCCAATACAAAGTACAACATTTTCACCAGCAACATTTACATGGTGCCTCAAATTCTTTATAAACAACCCAAAATTGAAAAAATTTATGAATCAAGACGCACTAAATTTCAAATGAGCAAAAGAGTTTTCTTTTATGAAGAAGGAAGTAACGATTTGAGTTCAGTTTATGAGAAAATGGTTAATATCGTGAGAGTTTCATCGATGGATAAACGAAAAAATCGATTTTTTATGCTCCTCCCTGCATCTTTAAACCAACAATTTAATAACGTCTCTACAAAATATGATTTTATTGAAATCGAATTAACCAAGAAGTTTTGTCCGCACCTTAGCACGGAAGCTTTGCCCAACTTTAACGAGCTTTTTTATTTATTAACAATGGTCGATTTTAAGAATCTTCATTTTGATGAGATTTCTAACAGCTTTTTGAATCTTTTAAAAAGCTTTTCTTTGAACTTGTATGAAATTAAAATGCGATAAAATTTCCTTAAATCAATTTTCTCTAGTCAATTTAATTATTAATTATAAATTCACAATAAATAGTTATTGTCAAGGTCTATAGAACATAAGGTTACCCAATACCGATTCTCCTCCTCTGAAAGGCAAGGTGGGTCAGTGACGTAGCTGGTTCTATGAACAACACAACACGATGCGAGGTTTAAATATTTTATATAGACTGTACCACAGTATAGGCACGTGTATAGGCTATCTTTTATTCTGACTGTATCGAGCCAGTGACGTCAATTTGCGGGGTAATAATCGATACTACAGAGGCATAGGGAATGAGGTAACCTTATGTTCTATAAACCTTGAGTTATTGTGACAACTTCAAAAAATGACAGTTGTATTTTCATTTGTCGCATAGAGATGGCGCTACTCTTAATTGTTAAAAAAGGTGTTTTCAAGGTTGTAGGATTTTGGGTGACGAATCGAGACCCACAAATAAATCTCTTAAACAAATAATTCCATAACATAAACCGTAATAATAAACAATAATTTTACACGTAAGTAGAAGTTATGCAACAATTAAGTGATTTTTTATAAATAAATATCAATTTTTTGAGGTTATGACAACTTTTTTTGTGTTTTAACTCTAATTAATATAATTATTTAAATAATCCCTGTAATTATAATTTGTTGAAATAATACCCCACTTAATCGATTGTTATTAAATAATTCGCAATAAATAAAGTTGTTGACGAGTTCAAATGACAGTTAAATTTTCATTTGTCACATAGAGATGGCGCTACTTAACTGTCAAAAAGGTGTTTGTCAAAACGTTTTTGTTGATAAATCATTAATATTTATTCTTAATAAAATGCTTAATCATAATTTTAATTCTATCACAATATTCTTTTTCGTTTTCAATTTCAAAATAAAATATCTGATTGAGTGGTTTACCATCTCGAATATGTTGTAGGATGTTGGGTGTTGAATCGGGGCCCGCAAATAGACCTCTTAAACAAATAATTCCGTAAAATAAACCGTAATAAGCGTACTTTTTCCATTGTTCAAATAAAACGTGACTAGGGTACAACTCTTTCACGTTTCCTCCCATTTTACTTAAATAATAGTTTAAACAAATGTGGTAGTAATTAAGATATTCATCAATGTTGTCAAGATTTTCTTGAGATGCAGATGTTGTGTAAATTAAAATGGAAATATCGAAGATGGGGGAGTTTATTGACCATGTTTGGAAATCTATTATTTTAATATTTTCTAATTTATTTCCCTAAAATTAAATGACAACTTAAATTAATGAATTTTCATATTAAAGAATGATTTTTACCATATATTTAAACATTATGTTATTTCTCCAACAATCTATGTGAAGTAAAGTGTTATATTCATCAATATTTTCGATTACATTGACAAAGTTTTTAGATTTATCTCGAATCCTCTCTATATTTGATAAAATTTCCTCATCATTTTCTAATGTACAATGTTTTTTTAAAAGATCTAAGCTTGGATTTACTAATAATGTATCAAACCCAAGAGTTGTGTGAAGTTGTCCCAACAAATTATTTTTCGAATCAAGTAATTCATTAAAAATCCCACCATGTTCTTGCTTTAAAATAAAACCACAAGCATGTAAAAGAGCATATTTCCTCAAAATCATCATTAAATGTTCTTTGTTTAAGGTGTCTTTATCTCTTAAAAGTTGATAACTCTTTGTTGTTAAATTTTCCATCACAATACACTCTTTTAAATCATCTAATTGTGTGAAGATTGGCTTTGGAACCACATCGAAAGTCTGTTTTATGTATTTCAAACATAATTTATTGAGTATAGGGTATAGTTTTGAGTAGAAATAAATTTCTTTTTCAAATAAATCTCTTTGTAAGGTCACTTTGCGTAGTTGCGGATCTGTTGCAGCCATTTTTATGAAATAATGTGAGATTTCTTTGTTTAATTCAACCTTTACCAATGCTGTTTCCCCAAGAAATCCATCTCCAATGCTAGAACCAGCCTCAACGGTTATTATTGGTGTTGCACTTTCATTTGCAATAATATTATTAATAACTTCTTTGATAGTTTCTGTTATACGTGTCATTTTAACAATTATAAACGACAATCTTACACGTATGTAGAAGTTATGCAACAATTAAAGTGTTTTTATAAATTAATAAAAAAGTTTTAGGTTATGACAACTTTTTTCTTTAACGCTAATTACGTAAATAATCCCCGTAATTATAATTTATTGAAATAATGCACCATTTAATCACAACGATTATTAATTATTAATTTACAATAAATAAAGTTGTTGTGACAAGTTCAAATGACAGTTGTTGTATTTTCGTTTGTCACATAGAGATGGCGCTACTTAATTGTTAAAAAGTTTTTGTTGATTTGAAATAACATTTTTAATCGTTACTTCTGCGAGAGATGTGTCTAACGTCATTTTAACAACAATTATTTTCTACGTTGAGGGGATATACAACAATTTTAGTGTGCTTTTTTTTATAAATCAATAATATATAAATTATAGATAAAAATTTATATGAATAGTTTTAGTTTTTATAAAAATCAATATAGGTAAATCAAATTAAAGTTGTTATAGTTATAATTAACATTCAATATTAATTTTAAATTATCGAATATTTCACCCTATCTCTAAGAGATGGCGCTGGTTGACAATTATAGCTTTATTGAACTAAATCTAGAACTGTCAATGTCAATTTTAATTTTATTATAATATTCTCAATCTTTATAAAATAATTTTTAAAGTGAATCCAAACATGACGCATTTATCTCAAAAAACCAAAAAGTTGGATCAAGAATTGATTTTGACATACTTGTCAACTTTATAAAAAATCCTTTAAAATGAGTCCAAACTCGACATATTTAACTTTAATATTAATGGAAATACAAAGATGATGCACTTATCTCAAATAACAAAAAAGTTAGAATAAAAAACATTAAACCCGAAGTTAGCAACAATGAAGATAGAAATTTAATTTTTAAATGTTAATACTAACCTTAATTTTTAATTTTTTTTATTATATTTTTGTTTTTGTGACAAATATTAAGAGATTTTATAAAAATTAAGAATATGTCAAAATGACATTGACATTTCAATTGGTGACATTTCAATCAGGAAGTTGCTTATATCTCGAGTAATATTAGAATTAAACGTATCATGTTTCGACTCATTTTAAAGGATTTTTCAGGACGATTACAAATATATCGAAATTGAAGTTGACATTTCAAAATTGACAACTTCATGGTGTTAATGTCAACTTTAATTTTGATGTTTTCGTAATCCTTATTAAATAACCTTTAAAATGAACCCAAACATGAAGCATTTATTTCGAAAAACAAAAAAAAATAGAATAAAAAATATTAAACCTGAAGTTGGCAACAATTAAGTTAGCAACATATTTTTTAAACATTAATACCAACCTTAATTTTTGAAATTCTTTCTTGTATTTTCGTTTTTTATGAAAATTTATATTTATATTAAAACATTTTGATAAAATTACGAATATGTCAAAATTGACGTTGACATTTCAAACCGGAAATTGACCGTAACTTTTTTAATATTGAAATGAAATATGTCGTGTTGGTACTCATTTCAAAGGATTCTTAATGACGATTGCAAATACGTCAAAATTGAGGTTGACATTTCAAAGTTGACAACTTCATGGTGTTAATGTCAACTTTAAATTTGATGTATTTGTAATCCTTATTAAATAACCTTTAAAATGAACCCAAACATGACGCATTTATCTCGAAAAACAAAAACAAAGAACAAAAAATATTAAATCTGAAATTGGCAACAATTAAGTTAGCAACATATTTTTTAAACATTAATACCAACCTTAATTTTTAATATTTTTTCTTATATTTTCGTTTTTTATGAAAAATTATATTTATTTTAAAACATTTTGATAAAATTACGAATATGTCAGAATTGATGTTGACATTTCTAACCGGAAGTCGACCATAACTTGATTAATATTGAAGATAAATATGTCGTGTTTGTACTCATTTTAAAGGATTTTTAATGAAGATTACAAATATGTTAAAATTGAGGTTGACATTTTACACCTGAAGTTAGTTATGACATAGTAGACAAATGGACAACTTCATGGTGTTCTTCCATGATGTATTTTTTATTAAAAAACCTTTAAAATATGTCCAAACATGATGCATTTATGTCAAAAAACAAAAAGTTAGAATAAAAAACATTAAACCCGAAGTTAGCAACAATGAAGATAGCAATTTAATTTTTAAATATTAATACCAACCTTAATTTTTGATTTTTTTAATTATATTTTTGTTTTTGTGACAAATACTAAGACATTTTATAAAAATTAAGAATATATCAAAATGACATTAACATTTCAAACCGGAAGTTGCTTATATCTCGAGTAATATTAGAATTAAACGTATCATGTTTGGACTCATTTTAAAGGATTTTTCACGACGATTACAAATATATCAAAATTGATGTTGACATTTCTAACCGGAAGTTGACCATAACTTCATTAATATTGAAGATAAATATGTCGTGTTTGTACTCATTTTAAAGGATTTTTAATGAAGATTGCAAATATGTCAAAATTGACGTTGACATTTTAAACCTGAAATAATAATAAATAATATCGTACGAAATAATCAATATATTCTGCAATTAGAGGCATAATCCAGCCTTAAATATTAAACAAAGGGGATATTATTGCACGTCATTGAATCCAACACGATTTCAACATAATCTCACATACAGGGTGGCCAGGAGATGTGAAATTTGGGGCAACACATCCAAAAAGTTTGTTTAATGAAACGATTCTTTAAAGTTTTTTTTATTAAAATCAAAGTATTACAACAAAAAATCATCATAACCTTTAATATACAAAGATAATATCAAAAAATTGACGTTTTAAAAATGTCCCTATTAAATCTTTATTGTTAAATTGAGCTTAAACAATGGAGAATCTTCATATGTATTAATTGATATGTCATTTTGTATACAAATTATTATTTTAAGACCATCCAAAATTAATCCCGGTCATGTGATAAAATCGAATATTATAGGGTCGATAAAAATCCCTTAATTTCTGCAAAACGACCGGGTTAACGTAAGGATGATTTCGCCCCTTCGTTTTTCCTAAACAATGGGGCCCGCTGTGCCCCTCGCTTTTAAATAGGCAAGGAAAACCTTTCGTCGAGTTAAAATAAAAATGTTTTTCGGTAACCACGCGTTTTATACCCAAAAAATCTTGCACCCTGCGTAATTCCAAGGCTGGATCTAAAACCAATCGTTCTCCACTAACAAATAAAAATTGGGATAGTGGAAAATATTTTAACCACCTCGCTAAATACCGCGAATAAATCCCCAATTTAATCGGGCCCCAACTCAAATCAATCTGATCGTTGGTGCCGTTTACAAAAACTAAATCTTCAAATTTTTTCATTTCGGGTTTTTTTGAAATTGCTTGGGTGTAATCGCTTATTGCTCTTGTAACCGGGTTTCGGACTACAACTAAGAGTTTTGTTGATGGGTTCATGTGTTGAACTCGATGGGAGGCTTCTTTTGTGATAAAATATGACGGCGATTTTTCAATGGTGATTTGCCCCTCAAGAGTTGGCGGCATTTTTTGTCGATACCATTGGAAACCTTTCCCATAATGTTTATCAAAAAAATGAACCTCACTTCCAGCGGCTCTCACATCGGGGTGTATCCTAATAAACTCTAAAAGTGCTCTCGTCCCACCTTTTTTCACCCCAATTATTAAAGCACTCGGAAGTTGCTGCTCTGGACGAAGACCTTGTTCGCGAAAAAATTTATATTTCGGAGACGCGTCCGATTCGTTTAGATCTAAAGGTACCACTCTTACGGATGTTTTGTAATGGAAAACGATGTTTTCGTTATTCGTTACCGTTTGTTGTCGCCACTAAAAGAGATTTAATAAAAAATTGGAAAGGTTTATTGAGGTTATCTTACTTTTGGAAACGATTTTGATAAGTTGGTTATAAAACAAGTATTTGTTGTGTATATATAAATCGATAAAATCACCAATAATAACACGATTATTAATACTTTTTGCGGTATATGTAACACAATCATTTTAAGAATAAAAATAAACTTGGAAATTGATTTTTAACAAAAATCAATTTTTGAAATATAGATTTCGTTTTTACCGACATCTTGGATATATTTTTGTTTCATAGAGGGCGCTATTAAAAAACTTACCGATGCTAAGTTAAAAATTTTCTTGGAATTTTCACATTTTATTTAAACTTAAATTTATGTTAAATGATTAATTTGACGTACCATTAACCGATTTATAATGAATTTTAGATCCCCGCAGTGATTTTTAATGAAATATTCGCTTTTAATAAAAACTTATCGATGCTTAGAAGTTAAAAGCTCTTTTTTGCAATTTTCACACTTTCCTGAAACTTAAATTTATGTTAAAAGCTTAATTCGACGTACCAGTAATCGATTTATAACGATTTTTAGTCCTCCGCGGTGATTTTTAATGAAATATCCGCGATTATAAACGCACGATTTCGAATAACACCTAAACTGTCAAAAAAAATTGAAGACTCTGAATATAGTTAACAATCTTAAGTAATAAAATCTTTATAAATCTAATTTTAAATCAATAGATTTCGCTCTTAGCAATACCTTGTTTATATTTTTATTTACAGAGAACGCTTTTAATAAAAAAAAACTTACCGAACCTTAGAAGATAAAAGTTTCTTCTTAGTTTTCACACTTGATTTAAACTTAAATTTATGTTGTAACATTAAACCTTCGAATAACACGCTGTCAAATAAAATGAACTTAACATAGATTTCGTTCTTACCAACATCTTGTTTTAATTTTTTTATTCATAGAGGGCACTTTTACTAAAAACTTACCGATGCTTAGACTTTAAAAGTTCTTTTTTGTAATTTTCACACCTTACTGAAACTTAAATTTATGTAGAAAACTTAATTCGACGTACCAGTAACCGATTTATAACGAATTTTAGTCCCCCACGGTGATTTTTACTGAAATATCCGCGATTATAAACGCACGATTTCGAGCAACACCTAAACTGTCAAAAACTAAAAAAATTGATGACTCTGAACATAGTTACAAATCTTTAGAAATAAAATCTTTATAAATCTAACTTTAAATAAATAGATTTTACTTTAAGCAATATCTTATTTTTATTTGTTTATTTATAGAGAACGCGACGCTTTTAATAAAAAAAAACTTACCAATCCTCCTTAGAAGTTAAAAGTTCTTCAATTTTCACACTTTACTTAAACTTAGATTAATGTTTAGAGATTAAATCGACATACCATAAACCCATTTATAAATAATTTTACTTATCAGGGACGATTTTTAATGGAATTTCCGTGATTATAAACACAATTTCGTATAACACGCTGTCAAATAAAATGAACTTAAAATAGATTTCGTTTTTACCAATATCTTGTTTATGTTTTTATTCATAGAGGGCGCTTTTAAGAAAAAATCTTACCGATGTTCAAGTTCTTTCTTGCAAGTTTTACACTTTACTGAAACTTAAATTTATGTTAAAAGCTTAATTCGACGTACCAGTAACCGATTTATAACGAATTTTAGTCCATCACGGGGATTTTTACTGAAATATCCGCGATTATAAACGCACGATTTCGAATAACACCTCCGCTGTCAAACACTAAAAAAATTGATGACTCTGAACATAGTTACAAATCTTTAGTAATAAAATCTTTATAAATCTAACTTTAAATAAATAGATTTCACTTTAAGCAATATCTTATTTTTATTTGTTTATTTATAGAGAACGCGACGCTTTTAATAAAAAAAAACTTACCAATCCTCCTTAGAAGTTAAAAGTTCTTCCTGCAATTTTCACACTTTACTTAAACTTAGATTAATGTTTAGAGATTAAATCGACATACCATAAACCCATTTATAAATAATTTTACTTATCAGGGGCGATTTTTAATGGAATTTCCGTGATTATAAACACAATTTCGTATAACACGCTGTCAAATAAAATGAACTTAAAATAGATTTCGTTTTTACCAATATCTTGTTTATGTTTTTATTCATAGAGGGCGCTTTTAAGAAAAAATCTTACCGATGTTCAAGTTCTTTTTTGCAAGTTTTACACTTTACTGAAACTTAAATTTATGTTAAAAGCTTAATTCGACGTACCAGTAACCGATTTATAACGAATTTTAGTCCCCCACGGGGATTTTTACTGAAATATCCGCGATTATAAACGCACGATTTCGAATAACATCTACGCTGTCAAACACTAAAAAAATTGATGACTCTGAATTTAGTTACAAATCTTTAGTAATAAATTTTTAATTTATTTATTAAATTAACTTTAAATAATTGATTTGTAATTAATATTTTGCCTAAAAATAAACAATGTTTTAGATTTATTTTAAAGTTATTAAGGAAAACAACAAAATAACCTCAAATGTCACAAAACGATTACCCTAACCTCACTCTATGAAGACAATAATGTTATTTTATGAATTTTTTAGGAATTATAAGAAGATAAAGCAGTTATTAATTAAAAACCACTTCCTTCAATTTATTTATTATTCATTCTCACTCATAATTCATATAAAAAAATTTGTATTCCTATTTTTTATATAAATATATCCGCTATTAAAGTAAAAAATAAACCGTAAACAAAACGAAATGCAACAAAATAAAACGTATTTTTCCTTTTTTTTATAATTATGCACGTTCTTTTACCACCTTTGTTTAAATCACTTTTCGTTTTAGTTATCCATTTTAAGTTTGGTAAAAATTGGCAGTTGTTCAATGTTTTTATGTACAGGAGGGATCGTGAAAAAATATTAAATTAACAATAATTATAATTATAACTCATAAAAAATAATCGTACAAAATCAAAACTATTCTCAGAGATTAATCGAATGGAAATGCAGTTTGTTTTTTGATTTCTTCGGCGAGGCGAAGAAAAGAAAATCCACTGATTGGTTTTATTTTATTTTTTTTGTTGTTTTTTACCTGTTTATTTGATATTATTCAATTTTCCTTGATGAAGGCGGGCGATTTTCCAATTTCCATACATTTATTCTCTCTTTTAAATCATTAGCTAAAAAACATCAAATTTAGTTTAACTTGATTAACAAAAAATTAATTTTTTGTACCTGGTTTTAACATATCCTCTGTTAATGGTTGCCGATTAAAGGGATCTGTATTACTATTCAGTAAATGTCTCATAATTACCGGCCGATCCATAATTAACCCACTTGGTAATAAAACGGGATCATTCATAACCGTCATCATTAAAGGATCTTTAAACTCATCAGGAGCTTCTGACATCCAATCATCCGATACGCGGTTATCCAATAATATTAAATAAGCCCTCTCAGCTAACGATTTAAATTGCTCAACTTCTGTAGCTGATTTAATCGAAGATCTTTCCATTCTTAAAGCTGCATCAGTAAATAATTCCCTTCGAAATGATCTTTCATCTCCTGCTAAAGCTTCGGCGAATTTTTCACAATCCAAATGCAAATAAATGTCAACGATATGTCCCAACAACCATCTCGGTTCCCAGCCGTATTTTTCCGGGTTTCTAACCTTAAAATTTTTACATTTCGGTCCGCACAATTGTTGTAAATTAAAGTTTAACATCGAAGCCAATCGATCAACTAATTCCGGTCTTAAAAACGGCTCTTTAATTTCCATCGTTAAATAATGAAACATATCAACAGTTTCTCTTGCTAAAGTTAAATAAGATCTACATTGTCTTTCATCACCATTTAATTGTCTCATTCGTGATTGTTGCTGCTCAGAAGATAATTTTTTCCAATTATCCTCGTCTTTAATCATTTCTTGTACTTCATGGATGCGTTTTAAACTTTCTAACGACTCGTCTAATAAAAATGTTGTGTCGTTCATCAACATATTAACAAATTTCACAAATTGTTTGCCGGTTCGCGATTCGTTGATAATTGTTTGCCGGTGGATTGGAGATTTCCACATTCCTTTCATTATTAAGCTGATGTGATAACGGATCGAAAATTTGTCGTAAAATTCTGATGAGGATCCGGTTGTTTCAACGTCGGTGTAAAAACGCATCAAAGCGCTTGGTAAATTCGATTGGGACAGTGTGTGATTTAAAACTCTTGAGTAAAGAATTTCGGTTGATTTATTTACTGATAATGTTATCATGAAGATGACTTCGACGATTTTTGCTGTTAAATAAGGATTTTTTACACTTGATGAGGAACAGATGATCGTTAATAGGAACGTTATTAATGAATTGTCGGTGTTTTCTGAGACGACATTTGGAACGTATCTAAAAAAGAAGATTACATATTGCTGGTAAAACATTAAGTACAGGTCTAGATGTTGCTGATGGAAGAGGGGATACCACAAAAGATTGCTTAGCACTTGCAAAACATTAGTAACTAATTGCAAAAACCCAGATGATGTTGGTAGAAGACTAGGTACTGCTGCCATAATATTAGATTCTGCTCATGGAAGACTATCTACTGCTGGATACTACTAGAAAAGCATTAGATAACACTAGATATTGGTGGCAAAAGACTAGACAGTGCTGAAATTGTATTCTACTGATAGAAGATTAGATACTGCTAATACAAGACTAAATACTGCTGAAAGAAAACTAGATGCTGTTGGTAGAAGGCTAAGTACTAGTGGTACAGGGCTAGATATTGCTAATAGAAGAGTGAATATCGCAAAAAATTACTTACTATTTGCTAAAGGCTAGATACAGCTGCATAAAACCAAATACTTCTTGCAAAAAACTAGATTCTGCACGAAAAAGACTAGATATTGCTGATGGGAGATTAAATACAGATTAAAATCAGTATTTAGATAATAGAAGAGTAAATACTACAGGAAGAAGAATAGATACTACTGGGACAGTACTAAATACTTGTAATGGAAGACTAGATACTGGTGGAAAAACATTCTAGATAGTACTAGAAGAGGATTAGATATTGCTGACAAAAGACTTGACACTGCTGGAGTAGTATTTTGCTGATACAAGACTAGATACTACTAATAGAAGATTAAATACTGCTAATGGAAAACTAACTACTACTGGAAAAAGACCAGATACTACTAGAAGAGCACTTGATATTGCTGGCGAAAGACTTGACATTGCTAGAATACTATTCTGCTGGAAGAGGACTAGCACCATTGTTTTCAGAAGATTTGATACTGTTAAAAGAAGACAAGATACTGCTGGCATAGAACTTAAAACATTTGATATCGCTGAAAGAGTATACTGATGACAGAAGACTAAATATCGTTAATAAAAGACTAAATCCTGTTGAAAGAAGATTACAAAGAAGACAAGGTACTGCTGGCAGAAGTCTAGACACTATTGAAAGAGACCTAAACACCGCTTGCAAAAAATTAAATACTGGTAATCTTATCTTCCATAGCGCTACATAAAAGACAGAATCCAAAATAATCAGGATAACACTGCTTTACCATTTGCACATAACAATTAGAAAATTAATAATAAATTAATTAAAACTTGAAAAGAAATCGTTTGTGTCAAAAAATCGAAATGATAGGAAGGGCTACCAACCTCAATTTTATCGAATCTAAAAATAACTATTTTTTAGGGAAATATTATTAATGAAATTGCTTATTTAATATTTAAATTGTTATTAAACTAAAAAATTAAAGTAATAATTACGTTAATAACACCAAAAATCTTGATAATTTGTTTTAATCTTAACCCAAGATTAATTAAAGTAAAGATTATTTTAGAAAAGAATTTCAAGTCGATAAAAACTATTTACTTACTGAGTTGCAACTAAAAAGGATCGATTCGTAAAAAATAAACATAATAAAACACTTAACAATTAGATAATTAATAATAAATTAATGAAGAAATCGTTTCTGTCAAAAAATCGAAATGATAGGAAGGGCTACCAACCTCAATTTTATCGAATTTAAAAATAACTAATTTTAAATGTCAATTTTATGAAACGTCATGTTTTTTTTACGAAAATTAATTAATTTATGCTTAAATCATAAGTAAAAAAGAAAGTTTTTTTTAATGTCAAATCTTTAGAAAGTCCTAAAACATTAATTAAATCGACGTTTTTTGAAATTTTGACGTTTCAAATAATTATTCAAGTCTATCAAGTTAATTATTATTATTAACTCTGTGAAAAATGACTACCCTTTCGTTTTAAAAAACTCATTAATAAAGTATATATTCTAAGGTAGTCGTGAACAAATTTATTTTTTTAAATAAATTTTTGAATAAAGTTTAAACGTCAATTGTGACACATATTCAATGTCACCAACTTCACAGCAATTTGTCAAATTTAAATGTCAATTTTATGAAACGTCATGTTTTTTATGAAAATTAATTAATTTATGTTTAAATCATACGAAAAAAGGAAAACTTTGAACATTCTTAAACTACTCAAGATGTGATTAAAATACACACAAAGCAATGCGGAATAAGTAGTAAAGTCTTTCATAACAGCAGTATCATTAAGGGACTGACGAAAAGGACTTGAAAGCAGCTACTTCAACCAATAGATCTGAAGATTTAGACCCCTTTAGAAGATTTTAGACGAGTTAATAGTACTTATTGTTTTCAATATGCCTATTAACTAGATATAAAAGGAACGCAATATCTCAATTTCTTACTTAATAGAGAGGTGGAATCAACTAAAATGGACATAACTTGTAAAAATCAAAATATAAATACGAAAATTATGGCTTCTATATACAATAATGATTAATAATTAAGAACTTACTGTAATGCAAAAAGAAGGAACTCTGCAATATCTTCCACATACCACTCCGGCAACGCAGAAAATAACGCGGGTGTCTCATTAATAGGAAGTTCCACACCTGACCCTGTAGTTATCCCATTTAAAAGGTAGTCGCTAATACTCGAATAAACGATAACTCTCGTCTTTTCCGGCCCCGTTAGCGCAGCCAAAAGATACTCAGAGACACTCGTATAAAAAATAAGCGACCTCCTAATCAAGTTTTTATCTAATAAGGCTGTTTCAGCGCATGATTTCGACCTAAAACAATCAAAAATAAATAAATCGATTTAATATTAATTAATTTTCCTTTACCTATTTAATTTTTTTAATTGATGTCTCCATTTCCTTACTAATCCGCGATTTCTTTGCGCCATTGGTGTACTTTTCCATTGTTGTTCGGCCGCAACGGTTTCGTCTAATAATTTTTGGAGTTCCCGTATGATTCTTAATCGCCTCTGATGTTTCATAACAGCCGGAAGTAACGCGAAATGATGACAGTGTAGCGTTAAAAACCAACATTGCGTTGAGAATTTCGGATCGGCGAATTGGTGGTTTTGTTTTACGAGGGTTTCTATCCAATCGTCGGTTTGTTGGGTGGTAAAACATAGTTTTGTGGAAGTTTTGATATCGATTAAAGTCTTGGGGTGGAACGGATAATATGAATCGACGTTGTTTAATTTGATTTTAACCGAAAGTAGTTGCAAAACGCTTAATAAATTTAACATAAATCCGTCTCCAGAGATTATATTTTCTTCGATTTGTATTTGTGAGCGTTTTTCGTTGTTTTTTATTAAAGTTGAGATGTATTTTATGGTGGGATCTCGCGTTAATGGGTTCGCTAATGTATTGTGTAGGATTTTATGAAGTGTTTGTCGAATCGTTTCAAGTTCTAGTTGTAACGTTTGGTTTAATGATTTATCGTTGGTTGATGAAAATAATTTTTCGGGAACTTTGGGTTCATCCTCAGCGAAAATCGACAAATTCAAAAAAGGCCCAAAAAACGACGTTCGAGTTAACTCCTTCCCAAGTGATTTCGTACAAATTTCCGGTAAAAAATTTAACTTTAAAATCAAATTGCAAATCGGGCGGTGACCACAACGGATGTCGATTAATTCGTTTAAAGCTTGCAAAGGTTTCCGATGTTCGTTCCCTACGATACTCACCGATTGCATCGTTTCGAATAACTTTATCAAAACCGGGGTAAAAATCGTTTCGAAATCGTCCAAGTTACGCTGATTGTTGATTATTAATTCGCTCAAAAAACCGCGTGGTAAATTTTGATTCAAAATCATCTCGAATAAAGCGTTTTTTTGTTCCGATTCTATTGAAACGATTCCGTTTCTAAAAACCAACGATGTAAAATGAATAATTTGTTTTCTTAATTCCGATAACACCTCAGAAAACAAACCGAAACTAGATCTTTTCGGGTTATTCCTCTCTTCTATACCGACTCTGTTATAACATTCGGTTAAATACTTTAATGTACGATCACCGTACGACGACTTTTTCGTTTCGGTTTTATCTAAATCTAAATTTTCCGTTAATAACTCATTATTGTTCATCGGTGTACAATCACTAAAGAGTTCTTCGTTCTCGATAAATTCAAATAACACTTCCGTGAGCGAGCGCGAAATTAAATCTTCGTAATTACCGTTAATTTCGATAGTTTTTAAAACGAAAAACTTATTCGTATTCGTCGTATCATTGAATGACACGAGCAACACGCGGGATATTGTTGATTGTAATTGATCGTCTGTAGTTTCTGTCGCTTCCGTTGATGAATTGCGATTTCGATTTAACTCTTTTCTTGAATCGGAATCATCTACCTAACAAAAAAGAAAGGTATTTCAATAATCATTTAACTTTAAACGTCAATGTGACACAAATTCAATGTTACCAACTGTAACCAACTTCACACCAATTTGTCAAAATTATATGTCAATTTTATGAAACGTCATGGTTTTTTTACGAAATTAATTTATGTTTAAATTATACGAAAAAAGGAATTTTTTTACGTTCTTTTAATGCTAAACCTTTAAAAACTCCTAAAAAATTAAATTAAATTGACATTTTTTGAAATTTTCACGTTCCAAATGATTATTAGTCTGTCAAATTGATTACCCATGTTTATAAGGTATATATAGTTCGTTTTTTTTCTATAATACTTGTCAATTTAAATTATTTAGGGTTTCTGTTGGTATTATCTGATTTCCTGATTTTTGTAACATTTTCAGTAAGTAAATAGTTGAGGTTAAAATACTAATAAATTTTTAGATAAATACGATTTTAACGAAGTACATATTTGTTGTAAAAACATGCTACAAAGTAATTAATAGAATAAAATACCTTTTCTAGGTAAATAAATGGCAAATAAACACCCCACAACACTTTTTATTCACCTTTTCTTTTTGAATAAGGAAAGCTCAAACGTCAATGTGACATATTTACTTCAAAACATGATAAAACAAAACTCCCTGTTAATTTTGCCAACTTTACAACAATTTGACAGGTATTAAAAAAAAATATGAACTACACTTGTTGATGTAAATTTTTTAGGGTTTCTGTTGTTGATCTACCACTACACCTGATCAACAGTTCAGATCTAGAGTTTTATTTGATAAAGCCAAGACCACTTGAGGCTAAAACAATGCAATAACTGTGGCAATATGATGACCAGTTTCAGATAGAATGTTGGAGAAAGCTATTTTTGTTTACAAATGTCAATCATCACTGAAGGAATGTTAGGAAGTCAGTTTTCTTTTGAAATGTCAATAATCCAGGAAAAAGAATGTTAGGTTAGGTTAGTTTTGTTTTGAAACCCCAATTATAGCGTGAAGGAATGCGATTTTTCGGTATATTCTACACTTTTCCACACTTTCTTTTTATTTTTAACGTATTTTGGAGTAATTTCACATTGATTAAAAACAAAACCATCAATTTTTAAGCCACATAATGACTCTTGAAGGTTTCCAAAACAAATTTTAATACATTTTAAATCAAATAATCATTCTTACCTCCATATTTTCAATCCCTGAATCAAAATCGGTGTTCAAAACGGTTTTATCACCACATCCCCCAACCTCATCAACCTCCATATGTGTAGAACTCGTGTCGGAATCGCTTCGTTGAGGGGGTGGAGGCCTGGAGCGTTGTTTTGAACCCGACGGTGCATTAATATCGATGGGTTTACTTGGAACTTGAAATATATGTTCTTCAGAAGACTCCTTAGACCCCTCAGGACCATCAGTTGGGGATCGAACGATTTCCGAATCAATGCTATCGGTTCGAATACCAGGGCTTTGTGAAAGTGGGGTTATCGGGGGCGATACAGACCCCGATGGCGACGGGGTAAACCCACCAAGTCGTGCTAAACGCCTCCGACGTATCTAAATAAATTTATGAATTTGAAAATTTTGATCTTAACCTCAAAATGGTGTTCGAACTCAAACTCACCTCTTCTTGTGTTAATTCGCTCATATTCTCGTCGTGATTCGATCCGGTGACTGTTTAAATTCTATCTGCGGACAAAGACGTGAACACGAAGGCGAAAATTTGAGGTGAAAACGCACAAAACAACAATGAACGTCACGAAAGTCAGTCACCTTACAGCTGATGGTATAAACTGACGTTTAGACGGTGATCCGCCATTAATGTAACGATTGATAAAAAACAATGCGTCACAGTCTAAGTACAACTGAAATCAATGTCGAATCGTTCTAAAATTAAAAACCGCTTTCAAAACGCACTTATTCTAACAAATCTTTTCTTTGTTTAATACGTATTTATGCGTTTAAAAAGTAATAATGACAAAGTAAAATTAAAAAAAAAAAATGGGTTGGTACCACGTAAAAAAAGAGGAACGATTTTTTTTGACAAATGTCAAAAAGAAATAAGTCAAAATTTAAAATTGTTTATTAGCAAATTCGCGAAAAAAGCCAAGAAAATGAGTACCGCGAGTACCGCAGTTGTTAAAAAACCATCCGTTGAGGATCATTTAAGTTCGAAATGTATAGATGCGAAAGCACGGTCGACGAATTTTATCGCAATTTGTCTTTGGGGTATAGCCGCTATCGTTTCGGCCGCTAACACAGAAGTGAGCCCTAATGCCACGGGAATTTCCGTCTCTATAAAAGCCCAAGATGTCCTTTTAATGTTATCGATGACTTATCTACTTGGAAAAGGACTAAGAGATGTATTATTTATTTAATTTGCCTTCATAAATAAAAAAATTTTTTTTAGGGTAATCATATCTTGGTTTTACCATGGATCGTTGCTTCAATTTGGAATATGTACCACGTTCATTACGGAAGTTTATTGAGAATGGGAACCGTTTTAAAACAAACCCGAACAATATCTAAACTACCTTGGATTGCGCTTACTATTGATTTACTAGGATTAGGTATAAATCAGTTTGATTTGACTCCTTCAAAATAACAATTATTTTTTTTTAAGTGGTACGATTGCTTTTAACGTGTCGCGTGGCACATGTTGCGATTACTCAATGGTGTAACAAACAACTTGAAAATCATCTTAGAAAAATACCGAAACGAAAACCATAATTTAATACAACAGATTTGGTTAAAGACTGAAACACTTTTTTTAAGATCTCGAGAAATAAATGAAAATTGTTTCGATTACTTTGTAGTTTGAATTATTTACAAATATATAACAAAGAATATAAAAAACAACTTCTAGAACTATTAAAAAATGTCATTTTTTTCAATGTCATTCAAAACGGAAGATGGCGGAGTGTTACCACCATGAAGTTCGCGCTAATATGCTACTTTAAAGGTGCTCTTAATTTCATAATAACTCGAAAACATTAATTTCGTAGATATAGTAGAAACCACGAGAGCTGGCAGTGACTTGACGTTTAAAAATGGTATGAATCAAGATAAGGACGTACGCCATCGATTATTTCACCACATACATTTAAATGTATGTTAGACATTGAGGTCTTATATATAATATTATTAGATTATATATAAGATCTCAATGATGTTAGGTTAGTAATGGAGGTTATATGTCAAACATTGTCAAATATAGGAGAGGTTAAGCAGCGAAAACTCGTTAATATTAATTTATAATAAAATTTATGTAATTATTTATTTATATCAAATACTTTAGAAGGTTATTTACAGGTCGCAAGGGATTAACCCTTTGTGTCCCGACGGTACTTTAAAGTACCGGTAATTTTAAACACTCATTTTAAACTGTAGTTATCTATTCGGCGCATTTAGAGCTGTCTGTAGTTTCTACTATACAAGTGTATACAAGAAATAATCTGTATAAAAAACGTCGCAATCCGCACTGTAGGATTTTTAGGTACACTTTAAACTTATTCATCCAGATGTGAGGTTAGAAGTTTAGTGAAAAGTGGTGCTGTTGAATTTTGTTGTTCAAGAAGGTATTTCTTTGATAAATGGTTATTAGGTGTGATTATTACAGATCATTTTAAAAAGAAAACATTGAGCTTAAATTTAAAATAAGTCTCATTCCTTAATTTCAATAAACATGGTTTCTAAGAATTTTTAAATTAGCATCTTTTTTGACTCTTTTAAATGTAAGTGTTGTTTCAACATTTTTTTTCTTAATATTTTTCCAATCCAACCCAACAATTATTATACATCATTTTAAAGAGAAAGCTTTGAGCTTTAATTTAAAATAAGTTTCATTCCTTAATTTCAATAAATACGGCTTCCAGGAATTTTTAAATTAGCATCTTTTTTGACACTTTTAGGTTATTCGAAAATGTAAGTTTTGTTTCAATATTTTTTTTCTCTATGTTTTTCCAATCCAACCCAACAAATATTATACATCATTTTAAAGAGAAAACTTTGAGCTTTAACATAGAATAAGTCTCATTCCTTAATTTCAATAAATACGTTTTCCAGGAATTTTTAAATTAGCATCTTTTTTGGCACTCTTAGGTTATACGAAAATGTTAGTTTTAACTCAATACTCTTTTTCTCAATATTTTTTTAATTCAACCCATTGATTTTTATACATCGATTTAAACATAAAGCTTCAATTTAAAATAAGTTTTATTTCTTAATTTCAATAAACACGGTTTCCAGGAATTTTTGAATTAGCATCTTTTTTGACACTTAGACTATGCGAAAATAGGGGGATTGCGTATTTTGCTAAAATTTTATTCCAAAGGCCTTTACTGAGTGTATTTTGATAGCGTTTTAATTCTTTCTGATTCTGTCACAAAGTTTCAAAATGTTTGACTTCTTGGTACACAAAGGGTTAAGTAAGTTTTATTTAAACAGTGGTTCATAATTTATTCATTCATTATTAATTTATTTCATTTTCGGCTTGTGAAAACACTAACAGATTCATGACAACGCTCACAAGACATTTCGATTTCAGGTTATAATTATAGAGTTACATCTCAGAAGAACAGATGTACTTTTTCGACGTGGCTATTTGAATTGTACAGCAGACATATTAAACTAATGCTACTCTTTCTAACACACATTACTCTCTAGCGGTTTGTGAATTTTAATTTACTACGTATGGCATTTGTAACAGCGGAAAACGATGATTTACTGCCAGCTGTCGTGGCGTCTACTATATTTATCGAATATTATTGATAAAGCATGAAATTTATTTTCATTCAGTTTGCGCCACAAAAACCTGACGTGTTTCTAACTTCATGTTAAAAAGGGTTTTTTATGGTTGGCAACAAATAATTTGACATTTACTAAAAAAAAAAATGAGTCAATAAATACAAATAAAAACAAAACGTTGCGTTAAAATGGAATTAATATGACGTTTACAAAGTGAGATTTGGTTTTATCTTTGTGCATAATCACGTGGGAAATTAAAAATCCTTTAATTTGAGTCCAAACACGATCCAATTATCTTAAAAAACACCCGAGATATCCCACATTTAATTTTGACATAACTTCAAAAAAGTGACAACCGGAAGTTGGTGGTGTTTGTTGTTTTTTAAGATAACTCGACCGAGTTTGGGCTCATTTTAAAGGGAATTTAATGTAGATTACGAATACGATGTTGGTTTAATTAAATTCTTCAAAAATATAGAATTTCGCTATTATTTTATTAAAATTATTAATCAAGATGGCGAAAAATATCAAATATTAATTTGACGTTTATAAAGTAAGGTTAGGTTCTTTTTTATTCATAATCGGGTGGGGAATTAAAAATTCTTTAATCGAGTCCAAACTCGACCCGGTTATCTCAAAAAATATCCGAGATATCCAACATTTAATAACCTTCACAATATCTGTATAATAACTTGTTTTACTTACCGATATCTTTTAGTTAATCCCTTGTCTTAAATGTTTCAATTAAGTACTCTTCATGCTTGATTTTGTATTATTCAATTAAATACTTCACTTCATAGGGCTATAAAATGGTTTTGAAGTCTCCAAGAGCGTCACATTCGATATTTTCTTCGTCGTTTTCTTATTTGTGTTAATATTAAATCATTTTCAAGTCTAAATATATCTTATAACGTGTAATCGGGATTGTAGGAAGGTTCTTGAAGTAGGTACCTTAAAAAATTTAGGATGAATGAGTAAAGGAACAAATGTTTTAATCAATCCTATTCATTAACCAAATCTTTCAATTCTAATTTAGTTAAAGAATAGAATTGATTATATAAGATATGAATGGAAAAAAATCAAGTTAACTTACTGTTTATTTTATATAAAAAAAAAATAGAAAACTGTAACGGAATGAAACGCAACTACGAGATAATAATCATTAACACTAACATTTAAAACCTAGGAAAACTGTAACGGGGTGAAACACAATTATTATAATAATCATTAACACTTAAAACGTGTTTCTTTTCGAGTGTTTTCACCCAAAGAAAAAGAATCCCGCGCTAGAGGTAAATCAAAAAAAATAATAATACGAGATTCAACGAAATACTAAGGATTTAACCTAGCGAAGGTTTCTTGGGTGGAGGAGGATTTGCGCTTGCGTCCTCGGGTTCTGATTTTCGTTTGCGTTTCACCAAATGCGAGATGTCGTTGGGTTTCTTATCGGATTCATCATCGGCTACGACGGAATTTGATTCTTCCAACGTTTTTAATTGCTAATTTCGAAAAAACTTAATAAAAATTTTAATCTCTCGGTATCAAACAACGTACCTCCTCTTTAAAATTCCTTAAATCGACGACTTTCTCCTCAATTTCCGGAATCACTTTTTGCATGTCTTTCACTTCCGCTTTGTGAAGCTCCCTTTCGGAACCTGCTAAATCTTTAATACGATTTTCAAGGACTTCTTTTGATTTATTATAATAATCAATTGCTTCATCTAATTTGTTTTCCATCGCAACAGCCATTCCTAGTTTATAATAAGCTTCTGCTAACATACGATTATTTTTATCTTCTAGTGTTCCTAACACGGCGATTGCTTCGTTTATATCGGTCATTGCAGCTTGGACATTTTCGCTTTCCATCGAAATTTCTCCCAATGTTATTAAAGTATCTGCTAAAAATTTTTTTCCGCGATCTTCACGTTTTGTATAAATTATTTTGGCTAGTTCAAGAATTTCCCATGCTAGTTGGAGATCGGATGGTTCTTCTTCTTCTCCGTTTTCTTCTTGGCTTTTTGAACCACCTTCATTCTCTTTATTTTCAGAGGTAGAATTAATTTCTTCACCATTTAACTCAATTCCTTCAATTTGCTCATTTTTTGAATTATCCATTTCATCGTTTTCTTCATCATCATCTTCCTCCTCGCCAGAAATATCTTCCTCTTCTTCGTCTTCATCTTTCTCTTCACCATCAGCGACTTTTTCAGTTTCATTCTCAGAAACTTTTTTCGCATCACCTTTTTCAGCATCACCTTTTTCAACATCACCTTTGTCGGTATCACCTTTTTCACCAGGAACTTTTTCAGCATCCTCATCATCACTAGAATCTTCTTCTTCCTCAGCCTCTTCACCAACTACAACTTCCTTTGGAACATTTTCCCCAAATGGGTCTCCTTCCATGCGAGCTAACTCCAATAAACTCTTTCCATATAACAAATAAATATCAGCCATCTCATCGTGTAATTGATCCCCAAGCTTTTTCACACCCAATTCGCTTGCTTTTGAAAAATACAAGACCGCCTCGGCGTAATCTTTGGCGAGATAAGATCTTGCTCCTAAGTTGTGGAGGTCGTTGTAGGATTTTCCTTTGATGCTGATTGGGGGAGATTTCGGCATCTAAAACGAAAATATGAAAAGATCTTGAAAGAATGTTTATTTGGAAAGTTTTAGGTTACGATTTTAGATGTTGCGCATGATGTTGGAAGAAATATAAAGGGGTGAGGATTCTGCGCGTTAAATCTGAGGTTGGATATCGATCGATCGCGGTGGTTTTGTTGAAAACGTGAAAAAATAATATGATGCGGTGGTTTAAAAATCATGCAAAGTGATTTTTTTATTAACTCAATTTGTTTTTGGTGCGATTGGGACTAAAAACTGATTAAGGTAAGAATGATTATAAAAAATATTGTTTTGTTGAAATTATTTAAACAAATTTAAGCTTGCAATTAAGTTAAAATATTAAAAATTTTATTGAATTAGATTTAGGTTAGATTCCTAAATAAAATTTTATTAATTCTATACAAATTTTCCAAAACTAACCTTAGAATTACGCTTTTTGTCACTATCACCGATTGTGGATGCACGTTCCGCAGAGATAAAACAATGTTTTAAGGCAAATTCAAAGAGAAATAAAAGTTGAGGTTGTGTTTAAGTAAAAAAATGACAGGTTGAGTTCGCTGATTGACATTTGACAGGTTTAAATAAATAATTTATAAAAATAATTAAATTAAACCTTACAAAATATAAAATGGCTTTTAATAATAAAGAATGCGACTCAATAAACCTATTTCCGACTATTATTGGTAAAACGTAAAACTGATTATATTTCTACATTTCCAAAATGTTCACCTCCTAGCGTCGAAAAATGTAACTAAAAAGCGTGGTAATTTCAAAATATTAAACATTTGCGACAGATTTTAAATAATTTATTAACGACATCAAGTAATTTAAGCAGGGAATGAGGTAACTTAATTACTAGCTGTTAATTAAACGAAAAATCGCTTAGCTTTAGTATCACATTAGCTACATTCATGATGATTCGTGACTAGGCTACGTTCAACAACAGTTATCACTAAAATTAATAATTGACGTTATGTTTAAGTAAAAATTACAAAGTGCTTTAAGCAGGGAATGAGGTTATTTAATTACTAGCTGTTGATTAAACGAAAAATTACTTAGCTTTACTACCACATTAGCTGCTACATTTATGATGATTCGGTCTAGGCTACATTCAATAACATTTTTCACTAAAATTAATTGAGGTTATGTTTAAGTAAAAATGTCAAAAAAATAATTTATAAATTTGTAATTCATAAACAATTTAAGCAGCAATAAAATCTTGTAAACAATTTTTTATATTAACGTATGTGTTTAATTCGCAACGCGATTTTGTGTAAGATATGTTTCAAAAATGGTTTGTTTCTTAAATGTAAGGTGAAAATCTCCCCAGAACCACCCCTACAGCATCTATAAATAACACATTATTCGATCAATCCACCCAATTCAACCAGAATCGATCAAACAAAGTAAAAATACACACAACTTATACATTTTTTATTTTTATTTACAGAAAAAAAAATTAATCAAACACCATCTTCACCACCACCACCACGAACAACAACAAATAAATTTAATATTATTAACTCCTTAAAAATTAATGCCGTCAAAATTCCCCCAAAGGTCACCGCCAAATACGTCCGAGCATCAACTCGGCGCAACGGAATCGCCGGATTCGGCCTCGGATACCACTTCCTCCAATTGACAACAAAGAGGGCCCCCGCTGCCGTTCGAAGAACATCCTGTTACGACCCGTTAATCATCCCCGTTATGGAAACGACATCAACGGGGGCGGACGAAGACGCCCCTTGGCACTGTGCTGTACCCCCTAGCGTATTCTTTTTATTGGGAACTTTGGTTTTAACGGCGTGCGCCACAGCAATGCTTTGTGGGGCCATCATGACCGATCACTGGGAGGAAGTAACATGGGATGAACGCGAATTGAAACGATTAAGTAACGGAACTGAAGTCGAATTAGAATTCATTTTGGACCGAAAAGTGGTTAGGGTTCTTAATAGGGAGGCGTTTAGGAAAAAAAGGGGGACCACGTTTCTTGTACCGATGCATGGTGGGATTTGGACGTTATGTGTTAGTTTAAACGGTAAGAAATTAATTGTTAAGTGAATAAATTTGAAATAATTTGTATTGTAGAGGAAGAAATCGGTTTGTTGGATCAAGTCGATTTTCCAAAAATCCCACAATGTGTTAATTATCTCTCAGGGCCCCCCAAAACAGAACCACGTCCCGATTGGCAACACCGAATGCAAAATTTATCAATTTCCTGCGCCTTAGTTTGTCTCATTATTTTAGGAACTGCCGCTTTAGTTGGAGCTTTTGGGGTTTGTCAGCACCAAATTAGCGCTGTTTTAGTTACAGGGGTTATGTATTTATTGGCGGGTAAGTTATAAAACATAACCTTAATAAGTTTTTTTTTAAATTTCTTTTTAAAGCATCATTCGCGTTATTCACATTAACAATAATCCATTTTAAAAGAGTTCAAAGTAAACCTCGATTGGGGGTTGATGATGGAACCGCGGATGGTGTGGTGAGTTCTTCGAGTGCCCGAGGGGCTGAACATCTTTTCTCAGCACGCGTTTTTACAACATCATGGTCGTTAGATTTGGGATGGGGCGGAGTCGTTTTAACAGCGATGGCTTCGGTGCTTTGGATGCTTTTATCGAAAATCATGCGTTTTAACCCCATTCAAACATCAATCAATTAATTTCGATTTGAAAAACTGCCTCAAAATGCATAATAATAAAAATAACGCATAAAAAACGAATTGGAGGAGAATTCATCTTCAAGAAATTACTTAAAACTATTTAAAAGAAGAATAAGTGAGTGATAAGGCTGTGATGAACGTGATGCAGTGAAAATCGGTGAACGAAAGGAAAGATTGGCCTTCGCTTTGTGCAATTCATGCTGGACCGTCCAAATTTATTACAAACAATCAACGGTAGGCGATAATAAATCGATGTAAAATCAAATTAAGTCATACGAACAAATCTGAACCCAAACGAAATCATTAACAGCTTAATGCACAGTTCCAAGGCGCCTAAGAGAGGTGTGCATTAAGTTAAAATTGCCTTAGACAACGCATGGCTAAATCGCTACAACATTATTCACGCACAATACAAAATGAAACAAATTAAGCTTATTGTAAATATCCGAACTGTTGTAAATTTTGCAAAAAAGAAACTAATAAAATCTTTATGCTGGTTGTAAATGGTTGTTTTCATTTTAGGTTATGTTTCTTATTAAATTTCTAATTGATTTTAACTCACCTTGATTGTAGATTGGTGTTTAAACGGCGAAGAATAACTTGCAGGTGACCTCAACGCGAACGAGATGTGCAAATGGCGAAAAACGGGAACATAAAAAATATAACCTCAAAAAATAAGCGCCAATCTAAAATTGACACTTCGCTTTTCTTGCCAACCTAAAAAAATAAAATTATTATTTTTGTTATCTTATTTGGTGTTAATGCAAAAAATGAATTATTAAATCGATTAATATAAATATATATTAATAAAAAATGTGATTATGGGTATGATTCATAATGAATTAAGAATAAAAAAAATTTTTATTTCGTTGTTTTAGGTTTTACGTCAAATCATTCTCATTAATTAAAGTTGATTTTAACTCACCTTTAATTCAGATTAATGTATTAATAATGGAGTCCAACTTGGAGGTGATCTTAACATGCAGAGGTAAAAACGGAAATGTAAAAATTATAACCCCCAAAAATTAAGCGGTAATATCAAACTCTCAGTTGATTTTTGTTACCAACCTAAATTTAAAAAAAATCAAATTAATTATTACAACAAAAAATAATTTTTTACAATTTAAAACATAAAAAATAACAAATTTGATTCACCCATTAAATAATTACATAATTTTTCTAATTATGACTAATAATATTATTCGGAATTTAATTAAATTAATAAACATAGGAATTCATTACCAACCTAAAAATTAACGAAGAGTGCACGTGTTTTGCAGACTTTAACACCGGTGTTGAAAACAAACATGGAAAACTACGAGAAAACCCTAAGGAAACTAGTAATCGACCTATTTAACGTAAACGCGGTAAAATTCGGCGAATTTAAAACGAAAGTGGGTATTTTAACGCCGGTTTATTGCGATTTAAGGGTGGTCGTTAGTTATCCCAATATCTTAGTAAGTAAGACAAAGATGGCGAAAAATAAATTTGACAGCAAAAAAAAAGTGGCGCCATCTAGCGATAAAATCGATTTTAATTATTAAATTTGAATTTATTTAATGTTTTAGAGAGTTTTATCCGATTTAATCGAAGAAAAAACGAAAAATATTCGTTACGATTTAATTTGTGGCGTGCCATACACCGCTTTACCGATCGCCACAGCTTTATCGCTAAAAATAGATAAACCCATGGTGATGCGAAGGAAAGAAAAGAAAGATTATGGTACAAAAAAGTTAATTGAAGGGGATTTTAACGACGGGGATCGTTGTTTGATTGTTGAAGACGTCGTAACATCCGGAGGGAGCGTTTTAGAAACGTGTCAAGATTTGCAAAACTCAGGGATTAAAGTTTCTGAAGCTGTGGTACTTTTAAATCGTGAACAAGGTGGGGAAACGATTTTAAAAGAAAATGGGATTAATATGATCGCCTTATTAACGTTGTCTCAATTAATATTGGTTTTAAAAGAGGAGAATTTAATTAATGAAGATGTTTATAAAAAAGTTTTAAAATATATTAAGGAAAATCAAATTAAAACAAAACATGAAATGAATCGATTAAAATTATCTTACTCAGAAAGGATTAAATATTGCAAAAATCCCGTTTCAAAAGAATTGTTTAAAATAATGGATGCGAAAAAATCGAATTTATGTGTAGCCGCCGATTTAACAAACGCTACCGATATTCTAAACCTAGCCGAAGAAATAGGCCCCTTTATATGTTTATTAAAACTTCATGTGGACATCATTGAAGATTTCCACGAAAACTTTATAAAAAGATTACAAGAAATCGCTTCAACACACAACTTTTTATTATTTGAAGATAGAAAGTTCTCAGATATAGGAAAAACCGTCCAAAATCAATACACCAAAGGTATTTATCACATTTCTAATTGGGCCACTTTAATCACAGCCCATTCGTTGATGGGAAATGGTACTTTAAGAGCCATCGAGCAATCAATGAGTCCAAATAAGAAATCTGGAGTGTTTTTATTAGCAGAATCCAGCACCGAGGGGTTAATTAACCCCGAATACACAAAAGCAACGATTGAAATGGGTAAAACTCACATTGAAACTGTAACCGGATTCGTTTGTCAATCCCCCAAATTCTTGGATGAGCCCCAATTTATTCAATTAACACCCGGGGTTCAAATTAACGAATCAGCCGATGATTGCGATCAAAGATACACCTCTCCGGAAGCTGCAATAAACGAAAAAGGGGCCGATGTGGTCGTTGTGGGTCGTGGAATTACTAAATCGAACGATTTTGGGAAAATTGCTGAAAAATATCGAAGATTATTATGGGAATCTTACCAAAATAGGATTTCTATAGAGTAAAATTAATATTTTTGTAATTTTTATAATAAATTTCTTAACCTTAAACTTTATAATTTAGTACCAACTTATAAAAAAATAAAATCACCATATTAAAAAAAACATAACCTCACTTACATGTTTTATTTATAATTTAATAATGTCCGAAACGATTTTGAAAGAAAAACAGCTCAAAAAAGCTTTGCGTAATAAAAAAAATAATAAGCAAACGATAAAAAATGTTTTATCAACCTCTGAAGAACTTTATTGGTAAAGAAATCGAACATAACCTCAATTATTTATTATTAATTATTTTGTAGGCCGATTATAAAAGGAAACGATTTAAATGTTTTAAAAAATGCTTTAGAATCGTATTTACCACGAATTAGACCACAAAAAGTTTCAATCAAATACTCTGAAATACAAAATTTAAAAAAGGAAGAACGGAAAGAATATAGATTGAAAAGAACTGAGGTTGTTAAATACGAGAATAATGATAACGAAAGTTTAACGTTTGGATTAAATCAAGTAAATAGGCTCGTTATTAATAAAACCGCCGATTTCGTTTTAATTTCAAGCAATGTGAGTCCTCGGTTCATTCTTGAAGGTCTTATTAGAGATTGTACGTTTTATAAGGTGCCTTATTTATTAGTACCGGATTTAAAAGCGATTTTACAAGAACGTTGTGGTATTAAAAGTATGATTATTGGATTTAAAAATTGTAAAATTTCAGAAAATTTAGGTTTATTAAAGAGGAGTTTTGAAGATGTTTATAAAAATTATGATTTAAATTTAAAATGTGATGAATTAAAAAATGATTTAAAACAAGATGAGTTGAAAAAAGAGGAATTAAAAATTAATTTTGAGCCTGATGATGTTTATTTGAAGAGGAAGGATAAAAATGGAAGGGTTTTTCAACCAAGTTGTTGTACTTTGCAAAATGATTTTATCGGTTTTGAATCAATTAAATTTAAACCTTTGGTTGTTAAACGTATTAAAAGCGATTCGGAAAGGAATAAAAAGAAATTAAAAACTAAATAAATATTAATTGAAAATTTTTTGTGTTTAATAACTTTTTCCCGCTTAATTTTGAATTTGACGTTGATGTATGAAGTTAGGTTTTTAAGTTTAAAATTTTTTTTATTACTTTATTTTTTAATTTATATGTTTAAATAATATCTTTTTCTATTTTTTAATGATGATTTAATGTTATGTTTATTATATTACACAATAATTTTAACTGTTATTATTTTCCCGCTAAAATTTGAATTGAGGGTGTTTTAATCGCCGTATTAACCCCTACCCCTCTAAGAACGCAATAGAAATGGCGATCTCGTGTATTTTAATCATTATTTAAGGGTTGAACACGAGGATATTCAAATAATAAATTAAAGGTAAGATTAATAATCACTTAAAATTAATAAAATAGGATAGAAATAAATAATTTTTATTGAATAGGTTGTAAATTGGTATTAATAAAGAATGAATTTTACACCATTTGGGGGGCACTTTTCCGCAACAATTCCTTCAATACATCAATTTACCGCAAAATTTGGACATGAAAATGGTCAAAACCCGGTTTGCCAACCAACAACTGAGACAAACAGCAGCCGTTATACTGCCAATGGGGTACCTTCGTTCACGCAACATCACCCCCCGCAACAAAATCTAATAAACACGGGTAAGTATCCACCTTCAACGTACAATTATTCGCATCAAAATCAACAAGAAAAAAGTAAAAGCAACGTTCAAGAACAACAACAACAGCAACAATCATCTCCGGCGGCTTCTTGGCAATCGTTGGCGGCCCCCGGATCGGCCGTTGCCGATTATCTTTCGCATTTACCCGCTTCGACGTTACCATTAAGTTTACATCACTTTTTAAAGTACTCGGCCGAAATTAAAAAGGAATCCGTCAATCAGCATCAACACCAACAACAGCAACAAAACCAACAAATTTTAAACAATGATTTGGTACCCGGTTCAAATTTGATGAGTACAAACGCGAGTTTATCGACGATAAATCACGCTCAACTCCAACCGAATCCCCCTGCGAAAAAGAAAAAGAAGAAAAAACCCGAAAAAGAGAAAAAACCAAAACCAAAACCTGGCGAAATTCGATTAACAACCGCTTTGGATGGTTCAACACTTTACTGTTGTCCGGAATGTCATATGGCTTATCCAGAAAAAGAGTTATTAGAACAACACTTGGTGGGACATACGCTGGAACGACGTTTCGTCTGTGATATTTGCGGGGCCGGTTTAAAACGGAAAGACCACCTAACCAGACACAAACAGTCGCATAACCCAGAACGACCGTACGTATGTACGGTTTGTTTAAAAGCGTTTAAACGCAAAGAACAACTCACTTTGCATTTTGTTATTCACTCCGGCGAGAAGCGACACGTTTGCACGGAATGTGGAAAAGGTTTTTATCGGAAAGATCATCTGCGAAAGCACACTCGATCGCATATTGCGCGTAGAGTTAAAGCGGAATTATCGCAACAAAATCCCGGGAATTCCGGCGGTGTTAATTTACACTCCGGGGGTAATACGCAAAGTATTATATCTTAATTTAAAAAGAAATCGGGTTATAAAACGGTTTTTTTTATTTATTTATTTTTTAAGATATCGTCGTACCCGACGTATGCAACCAATATCACAACAGTGTAATATTGGTTGCATATTTACAATAATGACGTCTGGTACGATAATTAATTAACACACTGTATGTTTGTGTTTTAAGCTCGATTATAAATTAATAACGAAAAGTCAGTTTGAAATTTGATATTTACTCGATAATGTATTTTTCACCATCGATTTGTTTATTTACTGTTGATTTGTTTTATTTTATTCTAGTCATTTTTTTTTGAGTAATTTTAATTTTTAATAGATTAGGGGAATTAGATGCGATTATTTAAAGTTTTTTATGGTGATTTTTAAGATTAGGATTATTAGATTTTATCATACATCGAGGTTATATTTAAATACTTAGTAAGTTATTGTAATTTGATGAGATGTTGATTTACTTTGCAGAGACAACATAAAATTACTTTAATTTGAGACTAAACACGACCTTATTTGGGTTAAAACAAATTGTTTTTTGTTTACCAATTTTAATTTGTTGACAACTGTTAGAGTTTGGACTTGTCATTTCTTCGAATTAACCGTTCATTAAATATCCAACAATACGTTTGTTTATTGTGATATAGACGGTCTTATTTGACTAAATTGAGTGAATATGCAAAAATTTTGGTTCTTTGTAGATATCATAATCGAGCATTTCCGGTTTAATTGTGGTACAGATTCGCAGAATGTTGCAGAAACGTCATCATGACATCTCTTAGCATCGTTATTAACTACTGTCAATATTATCCGTGACACTTGTCAGGTTTGATTGCTCACAATCAATTTTGATATTGTTTAACATCGTTCTTAATTATTCTTTAAATCATTCTGGACAATTTCTCATTTCTCATTTTAACATTACCTCTAATTACAACTCAATATCGTCCTGACATCTATTAACGTCATCTCTAACTACTGTCAAAATCGTTTCTGACATCTATAAAAGTAATATCAAAGAATCTTCATTTTTGGTAAGTTTGAACGTATTTAAAACGATTTTCTTTGTTAAATATCCAATAATTAAGACTAATTTTAATTACTTTGTTAATTTTAATTAATGTTAATCGTCCTTAACTAGTGAGTATCGTCCGTGACATCTGTCAAGTTAATCCCTAACAGCATCACTCACAATCAATTTTGATATCTTTTAACATCGCTCTTAATCATTCTCTAAATCGTTTTGGACAATTTTAACTCATTTCTCATTTTAACATTACCTCTAATTACAACTCAATATCGTCCTGACATCTATTAACGTCATTTCTAACTGCTGTCAAAATCGTTTCTGTCATATGTCAAAGTAATATTAAAGAATCTTCAATTTTTGGTAAGTTTAAACTTATTTTAAAGGATTTTCTCTACTAAATATCCAATAACACTTCGTTCTTAATCATTCTCTAAATTATTTTGGACAATTTCGACTCATTTCTCATTTTAACATTACCTCTAATTACAACTCAATATCGTCCTGATATCTATTAATGTCATCTCTAACTACTGTCAAAATCGTGTCTGACATTTATCAAAGTAATATCAAAGAATCTTCATTTTTGGTAAGTTTGAACTTATTTGAAACGATTTTCTTTGTTAAATATCCAATAATTAAGATTAATTTTAATTACTTTGTTCATTTTAATTAATTTTAATCGTCTTTAATTATCGTCAATATCGTCCGTGACATCTGTCAAATTAATCCCTAACAGCATCACTCACAATCAATTTTGATATTGTTTAACATTGTTCTTAATCATTCTTTAAATCATTCTGGACAATTTCGACTCATTTCTCATTTTAACATTACCTCTAATTACAACTCAATATCGTCCTGACATCTATTAACGTCATCTCTAACTGCTGTCAAAATCGTTTCTGTCATATGTCAAAGTAATATCAAAGAATCTTCAATTTTTGGTAAGTTTAAACTTATTTTAAAGGATTTTCTCTACTAAATATCCAATAAAACTTCGTTCTTAATCATTCTCTAAATCATTTTGGACAATTTCGTCTCATTTTAACATTACCTTTGATTACAACTCAATATCGTCCTGACATCTATTAACGTCATCTCTAACTACTATCAAAATCGTTTCTGACATCTGTCAAAGTAATATCAAAGAATCTTCATTTTTGGTAAGTTTAAACTAATTTAAAAAGATTTTTTCGTTTTATATCCAATAATTTAGTTGAATTTGAAGCTAAATTCAATACTTTCTATGTTTTTAATGATATAAATATAACCTCGTTGATGATGTAGATTACTTTAAAAAAAAGCTATATAAAAAGCAATTTAAAATTATACTTTAGTTATTAAAAATGAATACTAAAAAAGAAAAAAGTTGATTCCTTTAAATTTTTGGGATTTTCATGTGATATTTACAAAATTAACCGAGCAATACATTTTAGAATTATAGACAAGGAAAAAAAGCAACAAAAAGAAAATGTATAAAAAAGTTAGTTATTTAATTGATTATAATTTGTGATATCATTTTAAAAGTACAAACGAAAGATATTTACTGTTGATTTATTTATTATAAAAATAATTTTTCTTTTATTTATTTATTTATTACGATTATTTTCCTTTTCGAGTGGTTAAGATATGGATATTGGAAAATTTTCTATTTGTTAAGGAATCGTTTCTGAATGTACATAAAGAAAAAAAAAGTATTTTTGTAGCAAAGAAAATTATTTGTTGTTTCGTTGAAATTAATTTTTCTTTAAAGAAAATCGTTTGTAGTTGTAAGTGAAAACAATAAGAAAAATAGTACAAACGTTTTTGCCGTAATAATTGAAAATGATACCGAAACGAAAATATGATGTAATAATAATAATAACGATATTATTAATGATAAAAAATAGTAATAGGAAGTAGGATTAACGAAAACCTATTTAAAAAAAAAGTATGTTTAAACAAAATGGTTAGTTTTGTATTTTAAAAAGTAATAACGAACGAGGTTTTTGGGGAAATTACACTTTTTAATTAAAAAAAAGGATAATAATGAAACAAAAAAAGGGAAAAATAGAAGACAATCTTTAAAATCATTTTTTGTGAAGTGAAATTTCACCCGAAACGATTCCATTTTTACTTATTCGCTTTATACGCTTCCTGTATTGCTTTTCATAATTATTAAATAACATATAAACACTACAACAAAGGTGTTTTAAAATTAAAACCAAAAACAACAAAACAAATAATAAATAACCTATTTATTTTCCTTTAAAATATTAAAATATACATTACAAATACTGTGATAAACACATGCAAAAAAAGAATTAATTACACTTAAATTTAGCATTTACATTTTCAACTTATCCTCAAATTCTTTTACAACCAACTTCAACTTACCAATCGCTAGATCAACATCCTTTTCCGTTATCTCCCAATACAGAACGAATCGGGCACTGTTTGAATTTAAAGTGGTCGCCCTCAGATGAACTTTAACCTCATCAGCGTCCTTAACCTCGTACAATCGTTTTAAAAACTCCGAAACAGTCACTCGTTTCGCGTCCAAACACACCATTAAAATGTTGGTTTGAACCGATTTTAAATCTACTTTAAACAAATCGGATTGAAAGTCGCTTATTGCGCGGGCTATTTTCAATGTTCGGTCGTGATCGATTTTTAAACGACCAATCATTGAATCTAAAGCCACTAAACCCGCAGCGGCGATTATTCCCGATTGGCGCATCCCTCCTCCTAGAGCTTTACGAACTCTTGTAGCTCTAAAAATTAAATTAAAAAAGATTTTGTATTAAAATTAAGAATGGTGAAGGTTTTATTAATATACCTTTGAATGAATTGGGTACTTCCAAGTAATAAAGATCCAATTGGGGCCCCTAAACCTTTACTGAGACAAAAACAAACTGTATCAATATCTTTTACAATTCTATTAACAGGGACGTTTAACGCAACGGCTGCGTTCATAATTCGGGCCCCATCCATATGGACGGGGATTTTGTACGATTTTGAGATGGATGTTAATTCATCTAACCAAGATAATGGTAAAACTTTCCCCCCACAAATGTTGTGGGTGTTCTCAACGATGATTAAAGAGGTTGTTGGTTCGTGACAATCGGGGTCCACGCGGATTTTACTCTTCATTTCTTCTAAACAAAAAGTCCCGTCGTCTAAATTTTTAACTAAGGCTTGTTGAACCCCCGCGATTTGAGCTGGACCACCTAAAATGATTAATAATGTTTGATTATTTATAAATAAAATCGTTTTGGGCGGTAACAGATAAAGATAAGAGGTCAATTGCCGCTAAAAATTTATCAAAGACCCCAACAATTACGAAATTAACGATTCTTATCTTTAAGAAGCAAAAAATTATGACGCAAAGATCAATTTTTTTTAATTTCCTTTTACATTCACTCACTCAAGACTTAATTATTACATAAAACATTCTCCTCAAGACTCAATAATCGATTATCATACCAAATATGAGTTACCCTATGATTTAAAATCGATTATAAATGCAAATTTCTTCTTTCTACCTCCAATAATGACAAGCTTTTAACTTACCTTGCTCGAATTTAAAGGTGTGGCTATTATCCCCACAAATTAATTCGCTACCTCTCTCTCTACAATGAACCATAACTGTAATTAAGAAGAATAATCATTAAGAAGCAATTAAGATAACAAAAACATTCTAAAATTATCTCCAAAATAATTTTGTAGTTTTAAAATTAAAATTTAGAACATCTTGCCAATTATATAAACTATTTTAAATCATGGGGGGCTTGTCACACCACGCCTTTCACGTCACAATGACGCAAATCCCGTCTAAAAAAAAATAAATAAATACACACAAGCATTTAAGCCCCCCTTTTCCTCATTTAATCTTAATTTATAACTTACTCGCTATTAAATTAGCCATTGTTCCTGATGGTACTAAAATCCCATCTTCTTTCCCCAACAATTCGCACGCTTTTTGTATTAATAAATTAACCGTGGGGTCTTCCCCATAAACATCATCCCCAACAGGGGCCAAATACATTGCATCTCTCATCGCTTGGGTTGGTTTGCTGATAGTATCACTACGTAAATCAACGACGGGGTGCTCTTCATGTCCATTAGAATAACCATTTGATGTTGTAGTCCCATTTGAAACCCCGTTAGAAAAACTTCCATTTGAGTACCCCACAGTGCGTCCTTTTTGGTGTCCGTTGGCGATTTCGTAAAGCATCTTTTCAGTTTGACGGTTACTAAATAACTGGCTCTCACTCCAAGCGGTGTTATTTATATTTATTTACCCCCCTATAAATCTTCGCAAGGTCGTCCGCTGTTAACGAAGCGTTTTAGAAAACGCAATCATGAGATTATGACATGACATGTCATACCGTGTTGTTATGAAGATTTTAAACGTTACCATGGCAACCTCTTGACAACTTAAAAAAAAAATAATTATTTTTTTTGAATAATAAGTGATTTTAAAACGAAATTTTTCGTTTAAAGTGATTAATTAGTAATTTCGTTCGATTAATTATTAATTTAATGATAAACGAATAAAAAATTTGTGTTAAAAATTTAATTTGAGTTGGTACAAAAAAAAATCCCCTAGATGTTACTAACGAATCCACGTGAAAGAAACTGACAAACGTCAAAATCGTTAAAACGTCAAAACAAATAATTAAAAGGATAAAAATCATTATTCTCAAAGTTTAATGGAAAATTAACGTTAGATGGTGTGAAATGACTCAAAATAGGTAAAAAATTAATTTTTTATTAATAAGGTTCGATTAATTGTGTTAACTTGCAGGAAAAGAGGAAGGAACGTCTTAGAAGATGAAATGGAGTTTATGCCTCTTTCTAAACGTATTAATAACTTACATATAAACAATACGTTATTGACAAATCCCCCAAATTTAGGAAATGGTGAATGGCCGGTGGCTTATGGGCTCCCAACGCCGCCGGAATCAAATAATGATTGGACAAGTTATAATCCGGAACTATCAGAAACAGAAAATCCACATTATTACAATATTAATAAACTTTTGTATGAAATGTACATAGAGAGACAGCAAAGATCTAGGAATACTATGTAGTGTTGCTGTGTCACTAATAATTATTAATTTAATTTTAATCATTTTTTTTATTTATATTATTATTATAATATCATTAGGTTAATTTAATCTAGATAATATTCCTAAATAATAAAGATGCTCTAAACGATTTCATTGCATATTTAAGTTAAACATCCTGTTATTTTTAGTTATTATTAATTTGTTAACTCATTTTAATTGCTAAATCTTAATCTTACGTAATTTGGCGTGATTCTCAATAAAATAAACTTTATTGTGTAAGAAAAATAAAGCAAAAAGTACGCAAATGATATTTTGGAAACAAATCTATGTTGAATTGTCGCAATGACCTACGCAAAACGATAATAAGACTTTTTTATAACATCGATTTTAATTTGTGTTATTAATTTGATAAAAATTTTTTTTTTTTTGGTTATGTTGAAATTGTATTTTGAATATGACGTTTAAAAACAATATTAATTTTGATTTGTTATTAATTATTGATATTGTTATTAAATGAAATAGAGAATAGAAAAAAATTAATTTATTTTTTATTTTTAAATTTAGCGCCAAAAATTGGAGGCCACGACGACAACAAACAGTAAAGAAACGATTGTAGCGCCACCTGCCGGAAATTGAATGAATCGCGCGCACATCACTCCTGGTTCTAGGCCGTTGTTGTGCGCGTAAAGCGTTTAGGTAGACGGCGTCCTCGTATCCATTTTGCTCTGTGTATATGAAAATCATTGGGGCGCAGTCCCGTTTAGTCCCATCGAAAACGTACCTCGTTCGATCGGAAGAGATTAGATGTTATTGTAAAACGTCGCGCCAACGTCGTCTCCGTTGTGCTGTTGCTGCTGCTTTTGAAACGGGTGAGTATGTAGCACGTAGGGTGTTCTAGAATATTTAGGCCCTCCCGCGTTCGGGCGCGTGGGAAGGGAGCCTCAAAACGGTGGAAGGGGTGCCCGGGACGTCCTCCGGTAGGACAGGAGTTCATCCCCACGTCGTGGCCCCAACCACCACCATTTACTGCCCCCCCTCAGACCCCCCTTCCTTCCATTGAGGCGGCGGTGGCGGTTGCGTTGGCGGTATCCGCCGCCGTGGAGGAGATTCTGTCTCCATATTTGCGCCATTCCGTGAAAGGTCTTTGACCTAAAAACGTTTCTACGGTTTTCGTTTGTGTGGAAACGTGGATGCTGATAAGAAAACGGACGCCATATTTTATTGTTCATTACGATTTTCGTTTCGTTTTCGGAGGCGCCCCCCGTTCGGGGCCCCTCAAATTTGGAGTGGGGCTCAGAGGGGATATAGAGGGGAACGTCAGTAGGGGTTCACGCCTTTACGTACAATGTTCCTCGAAAAGTATTTTTACGTTTGTCATACGAAGGACGTTTCGATTATTTCTTTCTCTTTTTGACGTTTAACCTACGTGGTTATGTAATTGAATTGAAACTGTTTCTACGTCGAATTTTAACAAACTTTATCACTACAATAATCAAATTGCAATTTTTAGAAATGATGAATCAACTAGGAAAAAACGCGTTAATGATTAATCAACATTTTATGAATCAACCAAAATTATTCTATTAAATATTAATCATCTATTTATTATTAATTTATTATTTTAAATTATTTTATAAATTTAACAAGTTGCTTACAGCTCCATCTATTGTATTTAAATCGAAAGATTAGTACCAACTTAAATTTTTTTTACCAAAAAATTCCTGTCAATTTTTAATTCAATGAAAATATTTATTAATTTAATTTCTTTTCTTTCTAGAAATTAATAACATGACTTTAATATATATTTATTACCCCAAAAATGCGAAACTTACGAATAAATAACGTTCCAGGTAACAATAATTTTCCATCTCGGTGAATAGGCACCATTCCAAATGACGCAAAATTTATTTTGTGTTACAACAAAACCCACTAAATTAGAATCTCTACGTTAAAAGGAGCTTCGAAAAATAAAGGAAACTCATGGTTTTGTCCGCCTAATAGAGTCTGTAAAAAAAACTACGAAATTTTAATATAGTATACAGGGTCCTGAATTCGTTGTCAAACAACAAAGGCGAATATCTCACTTATTATCAAAGATGGAGTATTAAGATAGTAAAATCTCGTGAGATTTCTAAAATGTGTTTCCATAGAACCAAAATAACCAGTACAAGTTGCGCCATAAATTATTTTTATTCCAAGTAGTAAGTAACAAGTATTTTTAGAAAGTACTTGAAGTAATAAGTAATTTTACTTGAAACTAAAATTTCAAGTACCCAGTACAAAATAATTACAACCCTTAAATGTATCTTGTATTTTTAAATAATTAAGATTTTGCAAAATTTCCCAAATATATCTAGAGATTTAGCAACAATTTCCTAAATTGTTCAAAGACATCCTGTTATTTCCGAGTGAATCGAAAGCTCTTAAAGGATTTTTACAGAAATTGTACGAATTTCCAAGAATATTCAAGAAAAAAAGATATCCATTAATAATATCTAGGATTTTAACGATTCTCAAAGATTCATATAAGCATTTCCAAGTGTTCCCATACAAACATAATCATTCAAAATACCAACATAATCCAACAAGTTTCCAGAGATTTCTATAGATATTCAGGTTTTCTAAAAGGTTTTATGAAAATTTCCAAATACATCCAAGGATTTTATACCAATTTTCAAAGATAACCAAATATTTCTAGAGATTTTAAGGAATATCCACAGATTTACGAATTTCTTAGGATTTTTGAATATGTCCAAGGTTTTTGAATGATTTTTTAGAAAAATTAGAACGATTTCCAAAGATATCCAATGATTATTACGTATGTCCAGGACTTTTAATTCTTCCCAGACACTTATGTATGCATTTTTTAGTATTTCCAGGAGATTTCCAAAAGATTTCAACGGATTTTCAAGTACATCATAAAAATTTTTCAAAATATCGAAGGTTATCTAGGATTTTGCAGAGATTTCTACAGAATTTCAAGTTGTTAGAAGATTTTATAGGAATTTCCAAACATATCTAGGGATTTTGAAACGATTTCCAAAAATTTTTATATACTACTCGGTATTTCTAAAAATTTTAAGGAATTTAGACACATTTTCAAAGCTATCTATCGATTTTTATGGATATCTTAGGATTTTTGAGTGTATTCAAGGTTTTTGAATGATTTTTTAGAAAAATTAGAAGGATTTCCAATGATATCCAATGATTATTACGAATGTCCAGGACTTTTAATTCTTCCCAGACACTTATGTATGCATTTCTTAGTATTTCCAGGAGATTTCAACTAATTTTCAAGTATACCATAAAAATTTCTCAGAATACCTAAGGTTATCTAGGATTTTGCAGAGATTTCTACAGAATTTTAAGTTTTTAGAAGATTTTATAGGAATTTCCAAACATATCTAGGGATTTTGAAACGATTTCCAAAAATTTTTATATACTACTCGGTATTTCTAAAAATTTTAAGGAATTTAGACACATTTTCAAAGCTATCTATCGATTTTTATGGATATCTTAGGATTTTTGAGTGTATTCAAGGTTTTTGAATGATTTTTTAGAAAAATTAGAAGGATTTTCAATGACTATTACGAATGTTCATGACTTTTAATTCTTCCCAGACATTTATGTATGGATTTTTTAGTATTTCCAGGATATTTCCAAAAGATTTCAACGGATTTTCAAGTATACCATAAAAATTTCTCAAAATATCTAAGGTTATCTAGGATTTTGCAGATTTCTACAGAATTTCAAATTTTTAGTTCCAGGTAACAATTTTCCATCTTTAAGGTATGAAATTTCAATGATTTGTAATGATGTAGAGATTAAATCCTAAAAAAAAATCAAGAGAAATGTCAAAATGTTAGGTTATGTTTTAAACAACACTTTATTTTTCACCAAATTTGCTTTTTCCCTATGTTGCAGTAGAATGTATGTATTTGTGTCTTGATGATCTAAATTTCAATCATTGTAGATTAAAATGTAATGACGTAGAAGTTAAATTATAAAAAAATCGATAGAAACGTCAAAATGTTAGGTTATGTTTTAAACAGCACCTTCTTTTTCACAAAGTTTTCTTTCTTATATTGAAATGGAATATACCTGTTGGTGTCTTGTTTGTTCGTCTTGATAATCTAAATTTCAATGATTGTAGATGTAATAATGTGGAAGTTAAATCGTAAAAAAATCAAGAGAAACGTCAAAATGTTAGGTTATGTCATAAACAATATTTTTCACCAAGTTTTCTTTTTTCGTATGCTGCAATGGAATGTATGTATTTGTGTCTTGAATATTCGTCTTGATGATCTAAATTTTAATCACTGTTGATTTAAATGTAATGATGTAGAAGGTAAATCATTAAAAAATCGAAAGAAACGTCAAAATCTTTTTCACCAAGTTTTCTTTTTTCGTATGTTGGAATGAATGTGTTGGTCTTGCTTGTTCGNGCATTTCTAAAAATTTTAAGGAATTTAGACACATTTTCAAAGCTATCTATCGATTTTCATGGATATCTTAGGATTTTTGAGTGTATTCAAGGTTTTTGAATGATTTTTTAGAAAAATTAGAAGGATTTCCAATGACTATTACGAATGTTCATGATTTCCAGATTTCCAAAAGATTTCAACGGATTTTCAAGTATACCATAAAAATTTCTCAAAATATCTAATTTTATCTAGGATTTTGCAGATTTCTACAGAATTTCAAGTTTTTAATTCCAGGTAACAATTTTCCATCTTTAAGGTATGAAATTTCAATAATTTGTAATGATGTAGAGATTAAATCCTAAAAAAAAATCGAGAAACGTCAAAATGTTAGGTTATGTTGTAAACAACACTTTATTTTTCACTAAGTTTTCTTTCTTCGTATGCTGCAATGGAATGTATGTATTTGTGTCTTGATGATCTAAATTTCAATCATTGTAGATTAAAATATAATGATGGAGAAGTTAAATTATTAAAAAATCGAAAGAAACGTCAAAATGTTAGGTTATGTATTAAACAACACTTTATTTTTCACCAAGTTTTCTTTTTTCGTATGTTGCAATGGAATTCATGTACATATTTGCGTCTTGATGATCTAAATTTCAATCGTTATAGATTTAAATGTTATGATGTAGAAGGTAAATCATTAAAAAATCGAAAGAAACGTCAAAATCTTTTTCACCAAGTTTTCTTTTTTCGTATGTTGGAATGAATGTGTTGGTCTTGCTTGTTCGTATTGATAGTCTAAATTTCATCTATTAAATATTAATCATCTATTTATTATTAATTTATTATTTTAAATTATTTTATAAGTTTAATAATAAACGATTGCTTACAGCTCCATCTATTGTATTTAAATCGAAAGATTAGTACCAACTTAAATTTTTTTTTACAAAAAATTCCTGTCAGTTTTTTAATTCAATGAAAATATTTATTAATTTAGCTTTTTTTCTTTCTAAAAATTAATAACATGACTTGAATATATATTTATTACTCTAAAAATGCGAAACTTAGGAATAAATAATGTTCCAGGTAACAATAATTTTCCATTTCAAATGACACAAAAATTATTTTGTGTTACAACAAAACTCACTAAATTAGAACCTTTTTAAATTAGAAAGGATTTACTAATCTACGTATACAATAAAATCTCTCATAAGCCTAATAGAGTGTGTAAAAAACCTATGAAATTTTAATATGTACAGGGTGTCTCAAATTCGTTGTCCGCATATGATATGACAGATAAAAATTATAGAGATAAAAGTTAGAATTTGAGAAGAGGTTTTGCGAAAACAAATTGATGATGTCAAAAACCCGTTATATTGTACTTAGTTATTTATTGATTACCAGTTATTAACCACCATTATGGTCACAATGAACCAATAGAAACGATTACGTCACATCCTGGTGGAATTTAAAGTTATTTTAAAAGTTTAATTATGCGATTTTTAAATGTTTTTTTAGATGCAAGATGTTTTGAAGTAATATTAATTTCCTAATTGTTATTTCTTCTTGAAGCGATAAATTTCCATCGAGAATTTTAAGAATTTTTAAAATAACGGTAGTTGTCCGTGCGAATACCGGTACCCGTACAAAGTAACTGTACCGAGGCCGTGACGTCAAAACAGCTGCCGAAGAATCGTGAAAAGTACCGTTAAAAAGTACGACTATCCCTAAAAATATATGAAATAAACTTCTTTTAGGAACAAAGTTAAATTAAAAAAAATAAGAAAGTGTTTTAACTAAAACAATTGTAGAAAAGAAAAACTTTAGAATCCGCATAGAGAATCTAACTCGCGCAGGTGAAAGTTAAGTCCGGGCATGGAAGTAGGTAATTGGGTCCTCGAACGTTTTCCCCCTCGACGCCTCACCGCCCCTTCGATTTCTCTTCTTTGCCTCTTTGTTCGTTTAGTTCGATTAGAAAAAGAGGAAAATGGTCGGTGTTTAGGTTGAATGGGTGGTGGGGGAGCGCCCCCGTCCACGTGACCTCGTCGACCCCACTTTCGAAACTCTTCGCCCACCTTTCCTCTACTGACGCGTCTTCGCGCGTTGTGAACGTTTTAAAGTTTTAAGCAGTGGTCCCCTTTTCGGGGGGTTTTTTCGCCCCTCCTGGTCTCTCCACGCAACAGGTTCTTATTTCGGGGGTTACCTCAAGGACTTTACTGTCAAAACATTTCAAAATAAGGTTATAAACAAAACTTTTAATTTTAATTTAAATTTTTTTATTATTTAAATTTTATTAAATAAATTTTTTTTTAAATTTTCAGATTAAAAAATGAATTTTACTCCTTTCGGTGTTGGTGTGCCCCTTACGGCGGCACTTCCGGTTGGCACGCAATTCACAACAGGAAAAATAACGCAAACGGGCACGACGACGAACGGACAAGTCGTCGGGGTGCTTCAAGGTTGTGAAAATGGGGTACATTACATCCGGCCTTTGGATGCGAATGCTTTTGCGACGACGACACAAGCCCAAACTGCCCCCGCTGGACAACAGACGCTAATTACATTACCGATTACGATGCCAGGGGCGAAGCCCGGCGATCCACAACAAACTGTGCAAATACAGGTAGTTAATTCGGCAGCGCAACCTCCAACATCTCAAGCTCAGTCGCCAAAGTATCAAATCTCGCAAATACCGATTCAAACGTTTGGACAAGGTGCTACTGTTCTCACTGTTGCTTATAATTCTACGCAGGATGGTATACAAATTGTAAGTTTTAAATTAAACGTTATATTTGGGTTGGATATGAATTTTTAAGGTTACATTGAAAAATTTTAATTAAGTAAGTATGTTGAATTTGATTGAGAAGCAAGAATATGTTAATCATAAGTGATGATAATTTTCTTGATGTCTTATTTTAAGTCATTATTAAAAGATTTTAATTTATTCCCTATATATTTGCAGCAAGTTGGTGTGGAATTCTTCTAAGAAGGATAATTTTCCGGAAAATGTCTGTTTAATGCAATGTTATGAAGATGTTTTTCTTTATGAGGACACCAACAATGTCATATCTACTGTGTTTAAGAACTATTTATACAAGAATTGATCCATAATTTTTGATTCTGCACTTTTTCATCATTACATTTATATGGAAATCATGCAATTTGTAGCTGTTTAGACTACAACATAAGATATCATCCATGCATATACTTCATAAAATGTTAATGTGAATGTTTAAGTTTATGTGTGTCTTTTCAAACAAATAGAATTACTTGCGTGTTAAGAACAGATCAAGATTCAAGGTTTAGACTTGGGAAAGGTAGTAATAGTCACTCAATCCACTCTGTAACTACCCCATGTTCTTTAAAGTGCATCATTCACATAACCTTACTTACAAAGGTAGTTCTATAAGTACTCAATCTGTAAAAATATATCTTTTTTTCTCAACATAGTCTCCCTTTTAGTTGGATACAACTTTTCCAATGGTGTTAATATCTTGTTTATTAGGAAAAACCGTCAATTTTTGTTGGGATAAATCTTTTATTATAAGCAACTTATCAAAAATACCTTTAAATGTGATGATAAAATTAATATTTTTACCTTTAAGGTATGAAATTTCAATGATTTGTAATGATGTAGAGNTTGGCCCCTCTTATTTATTGCCATCTAATATTTGTTGTTGTAAATGCCTAACTTATTGTTTTATCAAAAGGAAACGTTATTAATGTAGATAATAATTCAGATAAACTCGCACCTCAGCATAAAACTATTTGAATTAATCACAGGAAATGTTCATAAAGATATTTGTGTTCTTTATAATGCTTGACTTAGACTAAATTATTTATTTGTTTAAATAACGTGAGTGCAGCGGTGTTCTAATAAGTCCAAACTTTTATCTACAGAGTCACAAATGTAAGCTTTGTGGAAGAAGAAGTAAGAAATAAATTTTTCTATTAATAATTATTAGTTATTGTAAAATTTTCAATCTAACCTTAAAGATATCTGAACCCAAAATCCACTATGTTGTGTATAATAATATGATTTAATTTAAAATTGCTTGTTAAATAATTTAAGTTGGATGGTCAAAATGGAATACCAGAAGGTATGACAGTGGTGGCAGCTATTCAACCCCAAGATATACAAATAATTCCCGCCCAAACCATTGACACATCAAATTCTGATAAAACAGGAAAGGAACTTATAACCCCTGTGGCATTAATAAAAAGTGAAAATAACAAAGACGATGTTGAAACGACGATATCAATGCCCACGACATACATCCAAACAAATTCCGTACAAGAATACCTAAAAATGCACAACAACTCGTTACCGTTGGGTTTGCAACAATTCCTAAAATTCAACAACACGGAAGTAAAACGGGAACAAATCACCGAAGACGGAGTCATCGAGACAGTCGTTGAAACGGAAGCGACCGGCCAAACGCTAATCATGAACGAAATAGTCGAAGATATCGAACCTGAAGAACAAGGAACCGGCGGAACCGACGACAAAACGAAAAAGAAGAAAAAATACAAAAAGAAACCACCAAAACCGAAAAAACCAAAACCCGGTCAAGTTCATATAGCAACAGCTTTAGATGGAACCACGCTATTTTGTTGTCCAGAATGTCATATGGCGTATCCAGAAAAAGAACTTTTAGAACAACACTTGATTGGGCACAAAATTGAAAGGCGGTTTATTTGCGATATTTGCGGCGCTGGATTAAAAAGGAAAGAACATTTAGAACGACACAAATTGGGTCATAACCCCGAACGACCTTACGTGTGTTCGGTTTGTATGAAAGGTTTTAAACGGAAAGAGCACCTCAATTTGCACTACGTTATTCATTCGGGTGAAAAAACCGAAATTTGCACGGAGTGTGGGAAAGGATTTTATCGAAAAGATCATTTAAGAAAACATGCGAGATCGCACGTAGCACGGAGGGCGAAGGAAGCGCTACAACAACAACAACAACAACAGCAGCAACAACAACAAACGGGGATTAAAGAAGCAACAGTTACAATTCAGGTAAAAAATTTATTACTTTTTCATTTTTTCACTTTTTTCTTTACATCTACAAAATGGTGTTATCGGTTTATTCAAAAAAATTCCATCTAAGCAACTTTGAATGTCCTGAAAAACTTCCTCGACGCTTTTATTTGAATCGATATAAGTAATTCGAGGACCGTACATGTCTAAGACGTCTTGTACCGTTTCTGTGAATGTAATTAATCGTTTTCTTATGGTTTCTTCGTTATCATCGCTTCGGCCGGAAGTTAACGCACGCTTTTTTAATCGTTCAACTAAAACGTCTTCGGGTGCGTCTAAGTATATAAAAGCTTCAATCGGGCCTACCTCTTTCTCAAATTCAACACCTTGCGTTTTTTCGCGGGGATAACCGTCGATTAAAAACCCGGTTGCGCTTTTACTTTCGTCGATCGTTGCGCGTAAAAGCTTTAAAATTTCATCGTTTGAGACTAGTTTACCTTCTTGAACGGTTTCGCTGAGGATCGCCGCCGATTTAGTTTGCGTGCTGATTTTTGCCCGTATTAAATCGCCGGTTGAGATGTGATCGAGGTGGTATTTTTCGACGATTAGGTCGCATTGGGTTCCTTTACCGCTTCCGGGGCCCCCTAAAATGCATATTATCGGCCGACGGATCTTCGTTGACATTAATTTAAACACATATCGGGCGGATGTTGGGAGTATTTTAGATGGGTTACTAAAATTTTTCCATTAATTTCTTTTTTTGACGTGAATTTTTTTATTTTTATTTGTGTTTGACATTTCATAAAACCGTGAACTGTCAATTTTACGTTTTTATAACACACTAGCGCCATCTTGTAATACAAACTATAATTAAATCATGTTGACAGCTAGTAATAATAATTTTAAATATTAATTTGTGTTACTGTTATGTATATAAAAGAGGTAAATATATATGGTATTTAGTTCCTTTTCATCAAAAAATGTTGTTTAAAACATAATATTTATATAATTTTAAATTTAAGTAACGCCATCTTTCGCCATTTTTGTTTCAATTGACTTTAGTAACATAACCTCACTTTATAATCGTCAAAATTTTTAAGGTACCTAATTTTCAATTACAAATACAAGTACCGCAACACCACTTTCAAGGGGCGGAAAGTCAACAATAAATGTATATAGTATTTTAATTGCTTTTAATCAAAAATGGTTGTTTGGAACATAATAATTTTAAATTTAAATAACGCCATCTTTCGTCATTTTTGTTTCAATAGACAATTAGTGGCTTAACCTCACTTTATAAACGTCAAAATTTTTAAGGTGCCGAATTCTCAATTACAAATCCCGTTGCAAATACAAGTACCGCAACACCACCTTCAAGTGGCGGGAAGTCCAGAGGAGGAGTCCCCGCAAGTGAGTACAGTCGTTTTGCCGGCTTCGGACCCATTGGCGATTGTACCCCACTAAAACGGGGTGATCGTTTTAAAATAGGTGTACATATAAGATTGTATATTACTTGTATCTGTATATTAAAGAAGAAAGATTTTTTTGGTAACTTAAAGAAAATTATATATAAATAATTTAAATGAAATTGTGAGTGAGAGCGATGTTGCAAGAAAGATAAAGTTGTTTTTGTACAGGTTAGGTTGAAATAGTGCCTCTTAAAAAAGGTGAATCAAAGATATACTAATAAAGAAAGCGTAAGTTTAAATAAAAAAGAATTAAAAAGGAATTCTAAATTTTTCTACTTTGTTTTCTTTGATAATATCTTTAAATAGTTTAATTAAAAACATAATTTGTAATAAAATTTCATTTTTTCACTTTATAATACTTTGTATAGATAATTTATTGGTTTCGGGTTAATCGTAGCGTTTAATCGTAACAACAAAATAAAACCCTCGAATCTCGTTCTTTGTAATTTGTATTTTTTTAATGTAATTTATTCTTTTTTGTTAAAAGAACAAGTATTAAAACAGAACGGATCTTGTCTATTTTTTATTGAATCGGATCAGACGATAGATGCCTTAATAACGATATAAGCTATTTATTTTTCTTTTCTTTCTTGGCACCCCAAAATCCCCCCTCAATCCGTTCCGTGTTGAGGTCTTTTTTCGAATCGCAGTTTCAAGCGTTTCGGAATTTCCGTAGTAGTAAGACTTTTATACGATGTTGATCAGATTATTTTCTTTACATATATATACATATATATATTATAATAAATTACGAATTTTGTATTAAAAAGTATTGTGTGTTATTTCGTCCTTCGGAGGGGACGTTAAGCCGTCGGTCCCGGTAACCAGTTTAGGTTATCGTCATTCTATATGGATATTAAAATAAAGATATTAATTGGTAAGTCTTCTCCAAAGCTGAGGTATTGAGATATTACATTTAGTTTTGTTTCTTATAGATTGGAAGATTGAAAAAGGACTTTTTGGATCTGCAAAAAAGGAGCAATTTTTAGATACGACTTAATTGGAAGGTAAAGCTTGTTTTTATTTCAACGCTGGGTACAACAATTTCCCGTCTTAAAGTTTTTTAAAGTCTTTGAGGTTTGAAAATAAGAAATTATTATTAATCAGACAGAGCAGTGTTTGTACATTGAGATGTTTCTCACAAAATCGAATGCTTTATCGCTCTGATTTCTCTAATACACTAAATAAAACGAAAAAATGGTTTAAATTTATTAAAAAAATCAATGACAAGTAGAAACATAACCTCACTTTTCCCCTCAATCTCCTTAATACCCAAATAATTAAAAAAAGAGGTATTGCATAGTTTTAAATTACAAATTAGATAATTCATATTAAAAATTATATTTAAGTAAAGCAAATTCTTTTGTATTTTCATCAATTTTACTTAAAAATTAGAAAAAACTTACATTTTCGTATAACCTAAAAATGTCAAAAAAGATGCTAATTTAAAACTTCTTAGAGGCCGTATTTATTGAAATTAAGGAATGACACTTATTCTAAATTAAAGTTCAAAGCTTTCTCTTTAAAATGATGTATAGTAATTGTTGGGTTGGATTGGAAAAATATTGAAAAAGAGAATGTTGAAATACAGGTATTTTTGATAGGAGAACTGATTGTATGTCGAAATCCGCCCGTAAGAGGGCATTAGCGTCTATACTGAAATAATTTAATTAAACTAACAATTTTGTTATTAATAGTGGGAATGATAAGAGATAACAGTAACAATTATTACCAGTATTATTTTTTTAATTTTAAAAGTATAAATTCCAATTCGTGTTATATTTTTAAATTTGCTACTAAGAATATGATGCTGTGAAATTCAAATATGGCGGCATTATTTGACAGGTGTAATTGCATCTGAGGAATTCTCAACCAGTCGGAACGTTAATTGGAGCCACATATTGGCTTCAAACAGTTTCCAAACAATTATTCTGTTGTTGGAGCTTTTATATATAAGTATAAACTCAATCCAACCTGTATTCCAGTGGTTCAGTTCTTAGCTGAATAATTTCAAAATATCTCCAACAGATGGCGCCACATGCGTTTAATTTTTAGTACGAAATCCGAATTTTAAGTACGAAATTATTAATCAGACAGAGTGGTGGTTGTTTATTGAGTTATTTCTCACACAATCGAATACGTTATTACTCAGAATTCTTTAGTACACTAAAAATAACGTAGATTTGTTTAAATTAGTTTATTAAAAAAATCAATGACAGGTATAGGTGAGGATTATTTGAGATGGTGAAAACACGAGTTTATGTACGCTTTCATAATGTTAAAAAAATAACAGAGTTTATATCTTTTTATAAGATTTCTAACAATAAATATAAAATAAATATTAAGTCAAATAAAAATTTCGTTCTCCTCCACATAGATGGAGCTAATTCAATTCGAAGTTACCATAGTAACGCGATTTATTTTTAAACATGGCGTAACGCGGGTGCATTTTTATTTCTTTCGAATTCGTCTATTTATGGATTATGATGGATTACCCCACCTTTTCCAATCTAAACGTTATCGACACCACTTCGCAACGAAATTCGACCTATTTCCGAATAAAAGTTCTATTTTTATAACCACCACCACCAAAAAAAAAAAAAAAGTAATCGATCTACATTACTACCTTAATGGATTTTGTAACTTAAAAAGTTTTACGGAAGAAATCTAAAACGATAAGATAATTGGGAACCGTAAAAAGTAAATATGAAGAAAAACGTATACATACAGAAGTTTTAAACTGTTTGATTAACATCGGTTGGTGTGGTTCGATGTGGTTCAGTCGAGCGGCAAACGTCGTGAGGAGCGCGTAACATAACCTAAAAGTGTTCGCGGACTAGTTTTTACCTAAATAATAGTGAATTTCGTGGAATCGAAACGTTTCCTGTATGAAGTAGGTGAAATGGCAACGACTAAAGAAGTAGGTGTCGGCGATTTCGTCCTTTTGGACAAAATCGACATCGACAATTTCATGAAAAACTTGGAACAGAGGTGAGTGTTGTTTTATACACCTTATTTACATTTGTCGACTCTCTTTTGTATGCGTTTCCATGCAACAGGTATCTTTTTGTTTGTAAACAATCATAATAAGCACTTTTTTGTTCTTTTGTTTTTACAAAGAATAATTTAATTTTACTTTTTTATAAAAGAACGAATTGTTGAATCATTTTCAAATGTGTGAATCATCTTTTTCGCGTTACAATTATGTGTAGCTCTCTAAAAATCCTTGGCGTCCTTTACATTCTTTTAATTGTTAATTAATTATACGATTTTTTTAGGTTATCGATTAATTAATATTAAAACGTTATATAAACCGTTGTTTTTATCACTCACACAATTTTCTACTTAATTTCGATGATCCAGATAAGATTAAAGATATAAATATCAGAAAAAACTGTTGAAGTTAATATCAAATACACAGAAATTAAATTTGTTGATTACCTCAAAAAGAATCAGATAACAAACAGCTAAGTTATTGATTAACGAGGCACCTGGTTAAATTTTATGTTTTTCTCATTCAAACTTAGACAGACACAAATCCATCAAATTTATAGCCTTTGCGCATTTTATCCTCGAAATGATTCATGATGACATTTCTTCTTTTTTAATATTGATTTTTGTTAATCTTTTATCTGTGTAATATTTAAACTGACGTAATAAGCAACCGCGAGATTAGTTTAAAAGGAAACCGGATGTGATTTAACGCGTGTTGAAATTATTTTTGTCTATCTCTGTTTTTTTTTTCTTTTGTAACGTTCTTTATTTATTTATTAACTGTTTTATTTCTTATTTTATTTGATATTGATTATGATGTTTTTGTAAACATAACCTAAAATCGTAAAATGACGTTTATTATTAAAAAAAAATGATTTCCTGCAATACCGGCCACCCTAAAAGTCCGACTAATCACTATATTGACGTTTACCAAAATGTCAAATATTTGAGTTTGAATGAATATCGATCAAATATTTGCATTATAGTAATTACCGAGAATCGGGGAGTTTACACAAGGTAAAACCCTGAACTTTTTATTTGGAACATTATTTATTTGAAAAAATTAATATTAAAAATATTCAAACGTTTGGGGTACGTTCGAATATAATTAATTATGAGTATAATTCATTATTTTATTCGCTTTTTAACTTTTCAAGGTAAGTGAATACACAAAAACACATTTTATGTTAATATTTAAACAAATTTAAGCCATATTTAAATTTTTTAATCCAAATTTGTGTTTAAATCGGACCAAATCAGTGTAAGATGTCATTTAGGTTAACATAACCTTTAAACAAACTTTTTTTGAACTGTCAAAATGTAAGCTACAATGTACGCTTTATGAGTTACTTGGAAGGTAAGAATTTAAGTGCTGGTTAACCTTCAAAAAAACAAAGTAAATAAGAAAAGAATAATAAAATCGAAATGGTATTACATCCCATTATGTCTACCTTTTTTAACTACCGGAAACCATAAATTTGCTTCGCCTCTTCTTGATTATTTATTTATTTATTTTTATACTTTTTCCGTATCATAAAATAAAGAATGTTAATTAACTTCAAGACTTTAAAATGACTTTAATTAAGTATTAACAAGAAAAGGTTTAATTCAATTTTTAACTCGAGCGAAAATAGGTCATAATAAAGTTGTCCTTTACGGCAACAGAATATTTATTTAAAAAACAACACCCAACACAGAGACAGAAACACCGACGAAGAGGAGTGTGACATCACTCTGCATACCATATGTAAAGTGACTCATAAAAAAAACACCTCTATGTAATTAAAAATCACCTACACAGTATTAAAAGAATTCTTATTTTCTCTTTTGCACTGTTATAGATGCAAAGATAATGAGTAACAATGGAAGTTTGAGGTGAAAGTGGTCGAAAACGTGATTTTGTTTGAAAGACGTTTTAAATCGATGAAAGTAAAAGTCGCAAACTCGCACATGTCCCTACTATTATTAAAGATTTGTTTGTTTTTGTACTGGATCCGATTCTGTTCTTGTTGGTTTACATTTCTATTCAGAAATGATCTAAACTTCAATGAACTTTAATTTTCTTTTGTGTATTATTTTATTAATTCGTATCTAATTTTTCAGATTTAAACACAATTACATTTACACTTACATCGGGGAAGTATGCGTTTCAGTAAACCCTTACAAACTCCTCAACATCTACGATTTATCCTACATCAACAAATACAAAGGTAAATAAATTGTTTTTATTATTATTTTTTTGACGGTTTTAATTTTTGTTATTGTAGGAAGGGAATTATTCGAAAATCCACCCCATATTTATGCAATAGCTGACGCTTCTTATAAAGTTATGAGACAACAAGGTCGCGATACTTGCATAGTTATCAGCGGTGAATCGGGTTCCGGAAAAACCGAGGCTTCTAAAATTATCATGAAGTATATAGCCGCTGTTACAAATCAAGGTAATTTATTTATTTTGATTCATTTTAATTCTTTTTTTCTGAAAACGGCTTAAATTTGAATTAGAAACATTGTGACGTTTAAACGTCAAATTGACGTTTCTTGATTTAACGTTTCAAAAATTTATTTTTAAATTTAAAACGATTTCAGAGAAAATAAAGTTTAAATAAAGTTAAAATTAATTATAATTTGTTGATTTCATTTATTTGAATAGATTTAGACCTATATCAATATGGTTCTGGAATTTACAAAAGAAGTGCAGGTAACTTTAAAAAAATAAAATTACTGCACGGTTTTTGTGGTGACAACTAACTAAAATATTAACGATTTGGTTGAAGGTTTCTAACTGATTCTAATCTTTTGCATGAAATTAAAACGATTTTTTATTTATTACGTACAGTTAATTTCACATAAAATGCAATATACAAAAAGGAACGCAGTGTCTATTATAGCTAGGGCACGGAACTTTTGTAACAAAACAATACGATTTCCCCCCTCCACTCGTTCTCAGCAGAAAATTTCATACGAAAGTTGTTCTAAATTAAATTCTAAAACGATTTTCTCAAAAACAACTTATAAGTATCATTTACAACTGCTTCGGGCATTGAAATAACATTTAATGACTGTTATCAGTTTTGCGCATTCTTTCGTCCATGGTACACAATATTACAGAAGTGACTAAGACAATGTTCGGAAAATGTTTTAATTGTTTTTCTCTGCTAAAATTACAATTAATGTTAATGTATTGTACATCATTGGGTTCAGAAAAAAAAAACCCAAAAAAAACCCGGAAAAGGTGTCCCAATTTCGATGTCCACATAGGCTATCTCCGAAACTAAAAGAGATAGAAAAAAAGTAGCTTACCTGTCATGATCTCGTTTTTCGAGAAAATGCTAATGCCGAAAACTCCGAACAGCTATCGTCTTTTGTTTTCGCCCTATCGGCAAAAACTGAAAATTTTGCGAAAACGACAATCGCGAATATCTCACTTATTATCAAAGATGGAGTATTATAAATAAAACATTATATGGGCAACTTTTTACGAAGAATTCAGTGGCGTAGGTAGAATTTTTTTCCCATC